GGTATAAATAAACTCGTTTAGAACGTTGTCAAAGCGCCCGCGCCCAGACCGTAGCCCACCCCCTTGGGTCCGAAGTTGCGGCCGTAGCAGGCTCGGCAGTAGATGTCGCCGTCGGGTCCATCGTTCAGATTCGTCGAGTCCAGAGATTTGCGACAGTCCGAGCAGTAGAAGCACCTCTTGTGCCAGATCCTGGTCTTGCTGATCATCTGCTCGGCCGCGAACACGGCGAAACCGCATCGCGGGCATCCGCCAGAAGTCTTAGGTCCGGCCAGGGGTCGGCCATCTGGGAACTGGATGGTGCTCTCGCCACTGGTGGACACCAGAGTGGGGGCATGTCCATAACCGAATCCCTTGGGTCCGAAGAGCTTGCCGTAGCAGGCACGGCAGTGGATGTCGCCATCGGGTCCATCACAGGCCAGAACCGAATCCAATGGCCTGTGGCAGTCGGTGCAGTTGTAGCACTTTTTGTGCCACACCTTGCCCTTGGACAGCTGCTGCTCGGCGGCAAACACGGCTCCTCCGCAACGGGGGCATCCCTCACCTTCACGAGCCTTAATCGACGTGGTGTCCGGGTTGTAGAAGGGCCGGTTGGCGCTGATCTGATCCTCGGTCAAGCCATCAGTCTGGAGGAAACCAGAGCCGCAGGCGAATCCATAGCCATGGGGTCCCCACTTCTTGCCGTAGCAGGTGCGGCAGTACACATCCCGATCGGGACCATCGCTGGCATTGATCGAGTCCAGCGTCTTGTGGCAGTCCTTGCAGTTGAAGCACTTCTTGTGCCACTCCCGGCCCTTGGAAAGCTTTTGCTCAGCGGCGTAGACTACGCCACCGCAACGTGGGCAACCCTCTCCAGGACGGGCCTGGATCTTGTCCACATCGATGGCTGCACGAATCTGAGGTGCTCCATCGTCATGAGCATAGCAATCGGACTGAAGGGCACCGCCTCCCTGGCCATAGCCATAGCCCTTGGGTCCAAACTTCTTGGCATAGCAGCCCTTGCAGTAGATGTTCTTGTCGGGAGCCTCGCAGCACAGGATGGAGTCCAGGCCCTTCTTGCAGGTTCCGCACTTGAAGCACTCCTTGTGCCAGCTGCGTCCACGGGCCAACATCTGTTCGGCGGCGTACACATAGCCACCGCAACGGGGGCAACCCTCACCCTCGGGGGCACGAGCAATAGCCCTGGGTTCCAGGCGGGCGCCATTCCTTACAGACGGACCATCGCCGTTCTCGCGCAGGAACTGTGCACCGTTGTCCATGGAGAGAGTACCCGCTCCAGTGCCGAAACCGTAACCCTTGGGTCCGTACTTGCGACCGTGACACGTCTTGCAGTACAACTCACGTTCGTGCTCTGTGCAGTTGGTGGAGTCCAGCGATTTGTTGCACATGCCGCACTTGAAGCAGTTCTTGTGGAATACATAGCCGCCAGCCAGACGCTCCTCGGCGGCATAGACACTCTTGCCGCAGCGCGGACACTTGGGGGCCTCGATCGGTTGGAAGGAAGGCATTATGTCTGTGTTTCGGTTTTATTTAACGCTATCGAAATGATCTACTCGAGTACAATTACTATACTTATTAAGTTTATTATCTGAAAATGCAGAAAAAGAACACATAGAGTCGATGGGGTCGTGGTGTTAATCCTGCTGGAGGTGCAAGGTGGAAGCTTCGGTGGTGATGAAAGCGATGTATGAGGTAAGCACCTGTCATTTTGGAATGTGTTCTTTGTATTATCGATCAGCGTTCGGCTAAAGAAAACATATTTTCTGTTCTCAATAATAATTGAAAGTCCAGTCTAGCACAATTTTAGGGATATTTAGTTTAGTACATGTACTAAAACCAACCCAATTAAGACCGTTCGTCATTTTTGTTTGTTTTACAGCTCATGTTTTTGGTATCCCATTTAAAAAAAAAAAACTTGACGTTTGACAATTTTCTCCTCAATTTTCATTATGTAGATCATCTATCAAAATTTTTATCTGTCAGTCGAGGCGTCATCGCCCGTGCTAGAAAATTACCCAACCGGACGTATACGTAATACATATAGAAGAGTCTTATGTTAATGATCAGAATATAACATCTTTCTCACAACAACAACAGAAAATAAAGTAGGAATTTTCTTGAATCACAGAAAACAGAGGCAAACATGAGCAATAAATGTGTATCTATACAGAATATTTTGTATAAAAATAACGCAGACAGGTAGAAAGTATGGGAAAGCACACACAAAAAATGACCGCCACTATGTCAGATATATATCTGGGTGTACTAAAACTGAGTCACTGAGTCGAAATCAACTCGGCCAGAGGATCGTGTCCCTGGGCCGGTAATCTGGTTATCTAGCGGTTGCGTTGGTTGGGTGATTAGTCAGGTGTTTGCTGTGATGGCTGTGTGCAATAATATCGGTTAAGTACTGGCAATATATGTATCTACCCAGTGGGAGTATCTATATAGCTGCACCTAGGTGACGGGTTAGAACGGAACCTACAACGCACTAAAACCACACACGGAAGCGCCGAGTACTGAACTGGAAGATTGCTCAAAGCAAACTAGTCTATATAATTGTGAGTGCACACGGCACGGCACGGCTGCGGCTGCCACTGAGTTTTCCTGCTCAGTTCTGAGTTGAGAAACTTAAGATGCGGCAACACGGAGCAGTTTTCCTTCGTTTCATTTCAGTTTTTTCAGTTTTCATCTAATATCGCCAGAGAGTGCGATGGAAATATAATGGTATTGGTCGAGACTGAGGTTTTTCAACTTTTTTTTTATATTATTCTATGGTAGCTTCTTCTTGCCTGTTTCACTTGAGTTCTTTATGTTTGCTAACTTTTTTGGAAAAATGTTGTGTGAACATTTTGTTCCCTAGGGGAAGCGTATCGCAGAAGACAAGATCGTAAAGTTTGCGGAGCAATATAATTGGGTGGCTATTCAAAGAAAAAGGCAGCTGGGAATTTGTTTATATTCCCGACCATAATTAATAAAAGTATCCAAACATTTAACTTGCTATTAGCTTATTAAAATTATATGTTTGTTTAGGCATTACAAGAACTATTTAAGCAACTTCTGTTTCTGTTCTGGTTTCTGTCAGGACTAAAGATATGAACATTTAGTATAGAAAAGTCCTACTTTGAATACAGAAATATTCTATATGTTATCTTGTGTATAATTATTCATTGAAATTTTGATCAGAATACTGCATATCCTGTCCACTGTACCGCCGAAAATAAAACTCCTCACACATAATACTCATTTCATTGAGTCAAACAGCTGCGGAAAAGTTTTTCCACACACAAAAAACGGAATCTATAAATAATAGTGTGTGGGAAAATGCTTCCTCTGTGGAGCCATACATTCCTCTCATTTGTGGGTCAAATTATGGTCCAAATTATACACGAGATCTAAAATTAAGCGTTAGCTTGACAAAACTGTACGATCATCGCTTCAGTCTATAGCAGCCTTAGGCCTTAACCGACATTTTTTAGTAGATCACAGCACTAAGTTATTTGTTTTACAGATGTAAGATGAATGTTCACAGCTTTTCCTTTGGGTTAAAAAACTGATATTTACTTTTCGTTCGTAATAATAAGGTTCGCAAGAGAAATGTCCTTAATTTTAGTTTAGCTTCGATTAACAACGATTTTCGACTGCTCGCGCTGAAAAAATTGTCAAGCGCTTTGAGTCTTTGTCTGCACACGGCACGACGGCGACGATGTCGCCAGAGAAAACGATAGGGATGACTATATAGCCCCAACAATAAATACATTAGCGACCCGAACAACAAACCCAACAAATCACAAAATATCTTCTCTCACGTATAATATATATACACCGATTTTTCTTTAATAAATTTCGTAGACGAACATCTTGTAGCAGAATATTCCAGGTGGAGGTGCTCATGACAAGGCGAATATAAAATTGATGCTGCTGTTTTATTGGATCGACAACATGGTTCAACTGTCTTGTTCAAAGTCACTGTCTGTCTGTCTGTTTGTCTCTCGGTCCATCGGCACTTCAACAACATCAATAAATTAACATGCGCATTTGCATTTAATTAAAATTCGATAATATTTTACCATGCATTTTTGGTTCAAAAGGAAATTAATGGGGCATGGGTACATCATTGGGCATCAATCAATTGAGAAAAATATAACAAGACATATCGAGGGCCACAATCGCCCAGAAAATACCCTTGAAGGGGCACTAAAATCATTTATGAGGATCAATTTATTAATTTTAGGGGTTTTGGCTGTACATCTACCCATAAACACGATGACATTACCTTAAAAAGATAGTCCATCAGGCGTTAATCTTATTAATACCAAGAAAATTTATAGTTAAATAATTTTTATAAAAAGATTTCATTAAATCATTAAAAAATATATAACATATTCTGAACATTTTATAGATCATATCTACACAGAATCTATCAGTAATTAAGCTTATTTGTACTAAAACCTTTTTAAATTAGAATTAAAATCAGAAATGCCACACTTCAAGAGGTAGCATTGAAAAACACGGAAATTCTTTTAAAACCCAATCGGGCGTGGAACACCTTTTGTACAATTAACGCGCACCTTGCGCTTTCGACAGAATTTCTTTAAACATTTTTAACATGCATGTGTAATTGCATTTTTCACTTATAAATATGATACGAATTTTGGCAAGGCGCCTGCGTTCAAAACTTTTGACGAGCGAAACGAATATAGAAGTACTAAAACTACCGAATATTCTCTCTGTCCTACTCTTAGGTTATATCTGAAAACATGTTGTACACGAGTGTAAAAGATAATGGGCACCATCATTCAAACTGCAACATTGTATTCAAAAGAGTCTGCTTGTCTAAAGAGATTTTCAGGGAAAACAACTCAAGAGATTCCAAAATATGTTTTTCAAGAGGCAAAAGCTCATGAAAATCCTGAACGCTCTTTTGGTGTGGTAATTAAATTGTTTATCATCCTATTTATAGTTTATATTCTAAAAGATAAACATTGAAAAATGGAACTTACCCTCTTGGAGCTCTTCTCGATTTCCTTCTCGAAGTCTGTTAGCGGAGTCAGTGCTACATGAACATCCTTGATATCATATCGGGATATTAAGCTGCAGATGCAAATTTAAAATGTATTTAGTATAAATGTGTATACTATAGTAGAAAAAGGTCTCATACGGGGTTATTTTATTAGTATTGTCTACAATTAACCAAATGGGTTCTAAAAATATCGTTTTGTTAAAATTAAATTACAAAAACATAATTAAAAGGCCTGGTTTCATAATTAATTACCGCAATGCTCGATTATAATCAAACGTAAACAAAATTTTTTAAAATAACTATTTTTCAGTAATTACAGAATTTCACTATTAGAAACCAAACCTTACAACTATAACTACAAAATTTTGAAAAATTTGAATTGTAAAAGACCTTTTTTTTGCGATTCTCGTTCCCCACCTATTGTTATCGTCCAGAGCGGAGCCAGATATAGAAGCATTGCCGCTGGACTTGGCAGAGTCTGCCTTTCGTTTTTTTGATGAGGAATTGGAGGAGCTTCCAGAGGAAAGGTTCGAAGATGTAAGATTGCTCGGCGCCGATGACGAAGAGCTTCCCTTATTGGTGCTTAGATTAGTGGCCGCACTGGATGAAACGCCACCCATCACTGGTCCAATTGCTCCAGAAAGATTGCTTGCCGACGAACCAGCGCCAGAGCTCTCTCTTTCCGAGCTTGAACTATTACCAAATCCAGAGGAATCGTTCAAAGCCGAGCTTGAGGATGTGTTTCCTGATCTCAGCTCAGATCCGAAACCAGAACTGCTGGTACTGAGATGCGTATTGTTCAGATTGCTGGCCGATTGCTGCTTCCCAGCTGTAATTCCACTCCCCGCTCCATTTGTACTAAGATTCTGGGCATGGTTCGAGTGCTCGTTGCTTGTGGAAGCAGTAGAGTTGACGCCACTTCCTGCCGAACTGCTTACATGAGTCCCAGTTCCACCCAATCCACTGCTAGCTGTTGATGAGGACGAACTGGGCTGAGTACTGATACTGCTGGTTGTGCTCGTGCTGCTGGTGGCACTTGGTACTTGAATGGAGTCTTTGTTCTTCGAAAGCTTTGATGAGGACTTCTCTCGTGTCGAGGATGAGTTGGAAGATGTCGATGAGGCTGATGAATTCGAGAAATTATTATTCGTTGAATTGCTAGCGGTATCTTTTCCATCCTTATCCTTACTGGAAGTGGATTTGCTTAAGCTTTTGCTATGTTTCTCTTTGTAGCTGCTGCTACTACTGCTAGAACTGCTGGCCGACGATTTGGTGGTTCCTGCTGCTGCCGACGATTGACTGGCCATCGATTGCGTAGCTCCACCGCTGGTAGCAGCTGCTCCACTGGAGCTTCCACTTGCCACGTTTCCAGCACTGCTGGTTGATCCGCTGCCTCCTGACAGGTTATTGCTTAAATTACTGCTAATATTGCCGAGGGCACTACTACTGCCTGGTAGTAAACTTCCCCCAGTTGTCAAATTACTGGCACTGCCCGAGTGCCCAGAACCCGAGGATGCGTTAACAGCCCCTCCTGTTGAGGATGATGAGCTGCTGCTACTGCTGCTCGACGATTTACTAGATGCATTGCTTTTGCGCTGCTTGGAGGATGACGAAACACCACTTCCACTGCCACTTCCTCCAGAGATTCCCACACTCGAGCTGGCATTTAAAGCACTGCTACTGCCTCCAACACTGGCACTGCTGCTGGTGATTTTAATGCTTGTGGCTGACGTCGCCGCTGAATTCATTGTGGAATCGATCTCCTTCTCGGGCGACGAACACGAATCAGAAGAGGTGTCATGTTGAATGGGTTTATATGGCGGTATAGTTTTGACGTTGCCGCCCTTTTTCTACAAAGTATCAAGAATTTGAACGGAAAAATCATGAATGCTATCCCACACATACGCACCAGTTTGCTGTAATGGTGCTGACAATAGCCACAGTACTTCACATTGTCCAGATAGTTTCCCGCCTCCTCGCAGAGCAATCCAAGGCTCTGGGCACAGGTGACATGGAACTGCTGCTTGCAGTTGGATTTGTTGCACTGCATGCATGCTCCGACATTGGCACGATTCGGTTTGCCAATCTCCTGGCAAATGTAACAAGCTGAAAAGGTTACAATTAAGATTAGAAGGAATTGGATAGGAAAATGGAAACTTTTACTGGCTAACTTCAATTAATCTAAATCAGAAAACTTAATTTTATACTTTTAAATATATAACTTACTCTTTGAGTACCGCTCCGGCGGTATTAACGATAATATGATAGGCTCCATGGTGGTCACATTCCCGAACCGAACCTCCGGGATGTATAGGGCACAGACTACGTGCGCCCATCCGCTGTTATCTGTCTTCTTGAGGGCTCCATCCCGCGAGGGACATAGTTCGCATCGGACACGGGAGGTTCGCTCTTGGGACTCACACTTGCGGCAGTACCAGGGACCCGTGGGGACCGTCACAATGCCGTAGCATGCCTGATGCACTGCCACCGTACAGTTTTGGCCGTCACAGTAGACGAGCGGGTTCTCCGGCCACCCCCGCTCGTCCGAACAAACGCAACAGCCGCCCACCATCTCCTTCATATCGTCCAACTTGAACTTTTTAATCTTGACCAGTTTCTTGTTCAAGCTTGTGGAGTGAATGGTGTCGTCTTTGCTGGAGTCTAGCTCCAGTTTTGCATTGAATGAAGACGGAATTTTGTTGGAACTGCAAGAATAAAAGGAGTACGAAATTAGAAATAGTAGTTAAACTAGAAGGATAACAATTGATCCCTTCATATTCTTCATTAACAAAATGATAAGTTCACATTATAAAATGTTATTACTCACATTATGAACTTTGAAAATCAAGATATGTATAAATATAAGAAAAAAATTTAAAATTTATTGTTGAGAAAACCCTTTGAGGTACTACAGAGATTTTTAGTCCCTTGAATATTGCTGTCCACTTTTTGTAATAATTTTAGAGAAATGCAACCGTATTTCGGAACACCCCCATTAAACGAAGATGAGGTAGGACGATCACAAACAAACAGAAATAAAACATAAGCACACGAGAAGTCAATAGATCTTGAGTTAGAGGTTCCGGCCTTTCTCGCTATCGATGATATGCAGTTATCGATGCAGGTGTCAATTGGCAAGGTCACTCGCACTCGCTTATTCCACAAAAACAGCAACAACCTGCAGTGTGAATTATTACTTAATTGTGCACTTGTATTTACAATATAGCTTTCCCAGCGAGAGCGAGCGAGATGGCACATGGGCTCCATTCGCAAAACATTTACACGTACACACTCGCACACACACAATCTCTCAATGTCAAGGTAATTTCGCCGCTGTTTAATAAAACAAGCGATTTTTATGTCGAATCATTTAAATAAAGATGGCTGTAAACATAAACAGCAATGCCACCGAATATTGATATGATACTTTATCACAGCTATAAATTCTTTTAGCGTTCACAAAACGGGCGACGCTTACACACACATGCACGAATACACTCTACATGACGGCATTCCATGGGTTGGTTCATTGAACTTGAATAAAATGGGCTACCAAAAATAAAACAGGAAAATGCATCCCTACTCCGACTTCAATTGGAGGTTAATTTGGTACCACTGTGCGAGCGAGAGAAAATATGTGGGTCGCGGCATTGCCGAGATTTCACAACACAACAACAATAACAATAATAATAATAACGGCATGCGGGTGTTGTTTCTCTTCCATTCATGCATGCGCATCTGTGCGCGAGAAAGGCAGGGGGGAGTGCGGGTTTTGGATGTACCGTTATTGGGTCAGCGTGTTGCCAACTGCCGAAAAACGCAGCCAGCGTGTTGCCAACCGCGCGATAGCTGGAGTTCTCTTAACTTAGCGGTGTAAAAGCACACACACTTGGACACATGAAACGAGGCCGCTCTGCACGTTGCTTTTGTAATGAAGAGCAATGCACTTTCGAAACAAACACACACGCACACCCAGACAGAACAGATATACATATATGTACATACATACATACATCCAGACGTACGCGAGAAGATGCTACATGCATGCATGTAGATGAAATGCCGGAAAAGGGGGCGCGTTTTTGGGGAGGGTGGATTGCGGGGTGGTGTATGTATACATAAACATATACCCCATTTAAAACATCCTTCGGGGGAGTTTTTGGGGTCTGGAGGGTGGTTTCTCCCAGTTTCCGCAATTTGCCTCTTAAAGCACTGGTTAAATTTTCCTCAAATTGTGTGTATACACCAGTGACTTGAATTTATTGATTTTTATAGGCAATTGCTTTAATTTCACTGGCCAGCAGGGCTTTAAAACGTCATCAGCGGTGTGCCACAACAAAAAACTAGTTTCACGGCAGAGAAAAATGCGCGCGGTCAAAGTGGTCAAGCAACGCACAACAAAAACAGAAAATATCTCTTTTTTTCAGGGAGCGGTCCACCGAAAACTTGAAATTCTTTAGACTTTCTTGTTATTTTCACGAAGCTGTTTCTTATTGGCCGCTTACACCCTCACAGAATATTGATTTTCTCAATTTCTTTACCCGAATTGGCACTTGGAGTAAACGCTTTTCAGCTCCGTTAGCTGCTTTCTTGGGTTCCTCTGGCTTTTTAGTCGGCTTTCCCAGCACTTTTCCGCGTCCCACAAATTTTACAGCCGCCCACGAGTAGCAAACGCACGCAAGTAAAATAATCAACACTCGAAAAAGGCGCTGAACACCATCCACCAGCGCAACAACAACACTGTGTGCGCGAGTATTTACAACTACAGCTACAACAACACTAGCAGCATACACCACACACCTTGTAACTTGTTTGTTGTTGTTTCGCTCGCACATCAGGAGCGAGCAGTGCGGGCGCGAGAGGGAGACAACACCACCTGCTCTGTATACAAATGCAGCTAAGGTGAAACGGTTTTTGCTTTTTGTGAGGTTTTTCCAATTGCCCGATTTTCACAAAACGCATTCAATTTCGAGTTTAGCGATTTAAGCTCTAAATAACACGATTTTTAAGCATTTTTACGACGAAACGAGAAAAAACCTCGGTAACCAGACGATGGGGCAAATTTCTAGCGATGTGTACTTTCTTAGAGACGGGTTATTTCATAGAGATGGGGCAATTTTATACAAACTGTATATTTAAAGACCTCAGTAAATAAATTTATGATATCGTCCTTTTAATTAAGACTGTGGATTCCAATTCGTCTTGATGAAATCTAATATACTAATATTTTACGGAATAGACAATCAGATTTTTATTCCTAAGGGTGATCCCTTTTGACACTAGCCATAGATATATATATTTAATTTAAAATAAAACAAGGCACAACGGAGTACTCCATTGCCTTTAGCATATAAAATAATTACCGTAACTCAGGTATATATTTAACTACTAATGTTTCTAATGCTGATAAGCTAGATTATTAACTGGAGACATAATTTTATTTTCTATGAAACTTTCCCACTTATCAACAACATCTATCAAAAGCAGTATTGTTAAAAAAGGTTTTTTTAGAAAAATTCTCAACTTTTAAAATTTAGAACATAAAATTAGTTTAAAAGTCCAGCGTTGCCACTCGTTCTGAAACTACCGTCACAAGTTCTCGTGATATATCGTGCAGTGTTGGACAACGTTTTAGAACCGAGAAACAGCTGTGGGAAAAATCAATTTTGCAACTCCCTGGCGTTTTTCTGAGAAAGTCTTTAATCGCGAGAAAAGCCAGGATAAAATGACCAACGGAGACTGTTTTGTTGTTTTGCCCCGAGAACTGCGTCGAGGGAACGCTGATCATTGGTCGCAATGCAGAGGATGAGAAAAACGTAAACGTTGCCTCAGAAGTGTGCTTCTATGATACCAGCGAAGTGCTTGAGGGGAAGGTAAGAAAGACTCCTCAAAAAACGAAGCGATCAATGACTCATCACTCGAACACCTCGCCTTTCAGACTAATGGCGGAGCTTCTGTTGAGTCGAGCGGTGAAGTCGTGCGTGTCATATTACAGAAACCGCAGCCGGGTCTTTGGGGTGGAGACTTCGGGGCCAATGAACGCGGAGTTGCTGTAGGACTCACCTGGTCGGAAGGTGAAAACGAGGCCAAGGACAGCGACAGCCTGCTTGGTACGGATATAGTGCGGTACGTATTATAAAAATAATTTTTAAGTGGTGTACCCTTAAAGCTAGCATAATCCTTCATTTATTAGTATTTATAAATTTAGGGGATATGAAAAATCTTTAATTAGTTGAAATAAAGCCTTTCATTATGCACTCAGATTGGTTACATCAGGTATAACACCTGTATAAATACAATAACTTCTTATTTTCATTATTATTATCTTTAATTATGTCCTTAATTTGGGAAAAGTGAAAAAACTACTACTTCTACTCTCATGATTAATACGATTACCATATTGGGATAATATATTTGAGGTTTCATCAGCTTAAGTTTTTTTTTTTTTTTAAATAATTTTGGTTTTTATTCAGTTGTAATTCAACTAAAAATGGATAACAACTATATAGACATAAAACTGTAAAATACTATATTGTTCAAATGTGAAATATTATTTTTTTTTATAGTCTAACATTAGCTGTTGCCAAGGATGTGGACGACGCTGTAGACCGCATAGGAGCTTTGGTTGGCAGTCATGGTCACGACAACTGCAAACTAAACTTTATTGCATGTGATGCCATCGCGGGATGGCTTGTTAGTTGCTCGGGCAAGGTCTGGGCCGCCGAGAAGTTGGAGTCTAGCTTCCTGCGCCTACCTGCGGGCGGACTGGCTGTGACCACTGTGGTCAACAAGTCCAGCGAGGGACTGGATGAGGCGTCCAGTTTTGCTGCTGCTCACGATGCGGTGGCCAAGGCACCGGGTGAGGATTGGTGTGGACCCAAGCCAGCTGGCGATGGGTCATATACCCAGCACGATATGTTCGAGACGCTGCGGGCCGCCAGCAATGCGAATAGCTCGCGGGCGGCCACCGTCTCGGTACTGTCGGCCAAGGGAATCTCATGCCATTGGTTCACAGGCACGCCAAATGCTGCCGAGTCTGTGTTCAAGCCATTCGTGTTTGCTCCCAAGCCGAGGATCTCGCCACTTACTCAAGTGCAGCCAGATGCGGAATTGACGTTGCTGCACAAGCTTCACTCGCAACGGAAGCCGGTTGCTTTGGAGCATTTGCGGAGCCTGGAGCGGTCCTGCGTGGACGAGCTAAATAACTACTTCTCACTGCAGGATCACGCTAGTGATGAGCTGGATGAACTGCTGAAGGACTGTGTCGAGGCGGAGGTTAAGTTCTATCGCTAGACAATCGAATACTATCTATATGGATACTCCAGAAACTAGCTTGCAAGCTCTATTGAGCCTCGGGATTTGACTTGAGCATTCTTATGGCATTACCAAATAGGCTATAGTCGGCAAAACATTTTCTTGTGCAATCTCTTTTGATTTAATTTCGTTTAGTTTTTATGCTTTTGCGTGATATTTAAATTATTATTTATTCTCTCTTAGTGGGCAATCTCTGACTTGAATTTAAAGTATTATTATGTGACATTCCAGGCTTAGTTTAACGATTTACATACTTGCATTAATATATAACGAATACATACACAAATATACATTATATGGCTCTCAAAATAAACGCATAAAATCGGCATTTATATAAAAAGTAATATTGATAATCTTATTGGAAAATGAATTAAGGAAAAATTATTAAAAATAAGAATATGTTTTCTTAAGAATAGAAGGGAAATACAAGTAGAAGTAGCTAACCAAACCTGAATTGATTCATTAAAATATTTTACCAGATCTTACGTTTTATCCCATACATCATTACAGCCACAAAAACACTATACTAATATACTTCTGTGTATTTTTAGACGGATTCTACAACCAAATTGGTCTTAAAAATAGTGCTATCATTGTGCAAGGCCTCCAGTTTTGTTATTTCAAATGCCTGATAAATCTCGCGGAAGTCCATAATGTTGCGCGGGTCACTTTCTATCCAAAAGCGGTCAAACTCAAAGAAGAGATAGCAGTACAGCTTGTGGAAATCCTCTATTGTGCTAAAGTCCTGTCTGTGCTGAACCACCAGATTGTAGAAGTGAGTTTTGGCGGCACCTGTTTTAACTAGATTGAAGGCCATTGAGGTGAGGTTAATGCCCACAATGGCGTAGGTATAACCCAGGGTGGGATGCATCGAGTGCAGAAGCACGTGCTTGGCAGCGTCGTTATAGGCGGTTGCGAAGTACAGCAAATTATCTAAACCGAGCATGCCCATTCCGCGGAAATCCGTCTTTGGATCGTCGCCTTGAAAGCCAATATCCTGCCACTGCTTGCTGACGCGTCCAGTGAGAGGAGTGTCCGGCATGAGGAGCTGCCATAGCCGCAACAATTTTTGCTCGTGGTCTAGGTTATCCGAGTCGTAACTCTCTGCCCGCAGCTGCTCTATGTGATGCATGAGCCGGCGGTAGCCCCAGATACTTGTCACACAGGTGCCAAATAGACGAGCAAAGTCTGGATGTACATTGCTCTTTATACGTTTTGCTTGCATCACAATGCGAGCAGCGCGAGGAGCTGGAAGTAGCATAATTTAAAAAAAAAAATTATTTTTCGGGATCATGTTTATCAGTCCCAGCAAAAAATTCTGGACCTACCGAAATCCAGAAGTTCCGCATTGTCCACGTATGGCGCAGCCTCATCAAGGTCAAGTACAAGACGGCGTATCTTGGGCCTCTTGGACAATGTTAGGGACCTTTCCACCTGACTCGTTCGACTGGCACCTGCACGAGCCCCATAGCATATCCTCTGGAGCTCCGAGAGCCTGGTGAAGGCGTGCAGAAACCACTTTATAAACGGTCTTATATAGCTAAAAATAAACGGCAGGATTCGGTCGAGAATGAACATTTTGCCAATGCGATGATAACTTTTGATTTGTGGGAGAGATTCCCTCGACTTCGTTTGTTTGGGCCCGAGTTGCCTGGGCAACGCGGTAGAGTTTATTTTCGATCACAGCTTTTACTATGTTTTGTTATATTGCAGTTTGCAACAAATGTTTTATTCTAAAAAAAGCCTATCAGCTGATCAGACAGTGTTGTAATTTGTGGTAATAATGTTGGTAATGGTAGAATTCTAAGAACTTTTATTTCTAATTTTATGTATGTTTAATGCGTTTGTTTAACTTTATTACATTTGGTTTGAATATTGGAGAATATATATTTAACAATTTTTATATTTTAATTGTAATCCATTGCCCAAACGGAGTACCCCTCATATCTTATATTTTTTGGTCAAATAAACCGTACAGGAGACGGTCACACTGTTGTTATTATCCTAAACAATTACCAATTGTCTCAAAACTTAAAAATATAAAAAAAAACTTGACACCTTTTCATAAGTAAATTAAATTTTAATGGTTTTGTTGATTCTGAAATATTGTATTAGTATTGATATTGATAATTATACTGCTGGGCTCAAAAGCATCGGATGTGCAATTTTCACTAATGAAGTAACCAGTTACGTTATTATAGGACTCATTCAGAGAATATGAAGCGCAGAACCTTAGTAAAAGACTCAACTCCAAAATCCTTACCGTTTAAGGTGATAAGAAATGATTGTTTCAAGCTTACTACTGAAGAGAAAATTAAGTTATTGAATGACAAAATGGATAAAGTTCTCGAAAATCAACAAAAAATGTTGGTGGTTTTGCGGTAATTTTTAAAAATGTCTTCATAAATTGTTAAATGTTTTAATCTTATCTATTCCGATTTAAGGCAACTAACAACTCAGTCAACAGATATTTTCGGACCCCAAATAGGTTCCGTAAATAGCATACGACAAATGATGAGTCCTGAATCGGAGGATTGGACACCTCAGGCATTTCCATTAACTATGTTGGAACAAATAGAGACGATGGAAGAGGAAATGAATGATCCAATTAAGTTGTCTCATTATGTATGAAGATATAAAGATTCATTTTAGATATTCTAAATAATTTTGTTTCCTATTTTTTAGATTCAAACCATGAGGGATATTCTTAAGCCCGGTGGAACACCACGTCCTGGAGGGCTTAAAAAACAATTTCATCTTATACTTGCAATACATTTTTTGGTTGATTTTAATTTTGATGGCATTCACAATAAGATACCTCTTAAGAAGTTTGGAAATTTCAATAACGCCTTATTTGGTAATTATATCTCCAGCATATGTCACTATATTTTGGCTTATAAAAATAATTAACGTTGCAGAAGTTCAGAGGCGTGAAGGATATTTCAGAGACGACTATGTGGCTGAAATCAGACTGGCATTCCGTACCTATAAAAATCGAAGGCATAAAAGCGTATCCGACGCTCGGAGGAAATTAAAAGAATCCCATATTGAACCGGAAGTAAAATTTGAAGAGTTTTTATATTGCGAATCAAATTAAATAATTGAATAAGTTGTTTAATAGGTTGTTAATACATTAATTTAAGTTTAAAAATAAGTAATAATAAAGCATGTAATTTAGGTGTAAAAAAAGTAAACACACGAAATGGACGTTGCATATCTCAGATTACTTTGAAGTAGTCTATTTATTCACACTTGTATTGAGTCTATAAACTCGCGTGCTAGGCGATTAGATTAGGGAGACGACGATGTGTTCGGTTTTCAAAGCTTCCACCTCAAATATATGTTGCCTAGTCGTAAACACGTATCTCTCAGTTATAGACCGGCATTGGTCGCGGTAGTTTCTTTATTTGGTGGCTAGCTGAAATATAACACATCTAAAATGAAAGCAGAAAATGGAAGACTCTGGGGAAAACTACACGATGGTGGGTGATTTGCATGGGAAATTCTTAAAATTTTTCAATTTAATATGCGAATTAGCTTTACTTATCTAATTCGTTTTTCTTTAGGTAAATTTGAAGTCCGCAGTGTCACTGAATCCGATCTTGAAGAGGCGCTTAATGTGAGTAAAACTCGTGTGTAACATTTTAAATGGACTATAAACCGTGAAAAAGTAGTTGTTGGGACTCAAACGTTTTGAGTACCGATCAAGCTTAAAGTTTCTTTGCGATGAGTGAAATTTTATTAGTAGTAGCTCTTCCACATCTGAAAACTATGTTTGTGCATTAAGATTAACGTGGCGTCGGTGGTGTAATGGTTAGCATAGTTGCCTTCCAAGCAGTTGACCCGGGTTCGATTCCCGGCCGACGCATTTCGCTTTTTGCTAATTTTTTTAATTCTTATATTTAGGATAATTTTTTAAAAGAATTTTATTTATTTTAGATTCTAGATGACTCATTCTTTCTTAATGAATCGGTATGCGTTGCTTGTGAAATCAATTTACCCGAAAATCAACAAGCCCGTCTGGATCTGCGTGAATTGTGCAGAATAACCGCTCTGGATGGTGTTTCCTTATTGGTAAAAGAGGTGGAAACTGGTAACGTGGTCGCAGTGTCTTTTAATAAAATTCAGGTAAATTAGTCAATTTTAAATATAATATTAATTCTAATATAGTTGTGAAACACAGTTTGCACCACTTCCTGGCGAGGATAATTTCTTCCTAAAATTTCGAAATGAGGACGTTAAAAGTCCTCAAGCTAGACGTCTAATGGACTTTATGATCGAAGTGGACGACAGAATCGATGTTTGCGCCATATACAATATGGATTGCTTCTGTGAACTGATGTTCTTGGCCACTTTGCCGAGCCACGAGCGAATGGGTCTGGGGCGGTCCTTGTCCCAGTTTACGATAGAACTTACTAAAGAGCTGGCTGATGGAAAGGGCTTGGACGATATTGACGAAAAACTTCGATCAAAACGACCAGCAGCAGTCACTGCACTGTGGACCTCAAGCTTCTCCCAGAAAGTGGGCAAAGCCACCAACTTTGAAGTACTCAATGTTGTGTCCTATTCAGAGTTTGAGTACAATGGAAAACGCTTTGATGAGCGAATTAACCCTTTGCACAAATTCTGCGAACACGTTATCCATAAATTTTGAAACATGGAAAAAATAAATAAAATAAAGTTGAGCAAAAATTTTAGCTGTGCGTCGGCCGGGAATCGAACCCGGGTCAACTGCTTGGAAGGCAACTATGCTAACCATTACACCACCGACGCCACGTGAAATAGAAATGCCGATTATCTACTTCTGTGGTTGGCAAAGAAATCTCGACGACTCGATTAATATTAATCGATAGTTGGTGCTATCGGTATGAGGTCACACTTGAATTTAGTAAATTTGAATTGTTGAGAGGGAATTCTAAAAACTAACGTATTAAACAAAAACCATTTTTATAGCAAACTCCATTAGTTAGTAATAAGTTTTTTAAATACCTTTTTGGGCGTTATTCATTATTGATAATTGAGACAAGGATTTCTATCAAACTTTAAGTTTTGCTTATATTTTGAGGCCAATCTTTTTTTTAAATGAATAGTATTTGATATATGATGATGATATATTTAAAGCTGTGTAATTTTAATGTTATGGTATTTCCGCTGTAAAAATTAAATACATAAAACAAAAAACTGTGTAAAATATAATTTCACGGTATTGGCTCTTGAATATGTATATAATTCGATAAAAATAACCAAGTTGTATAAAAAGTAATACTACAATTGAAGTTGTTGTAAAAAGGATTTTCATTTATTAAGCCTTAAATACTCTTGTGGAACTGTTTTAAAGCTTTTGTTAGTCCTGCGTCAATTTCGAAACTCCACAATGAAGGACTGCATTAGTGTTTGTGGTGGTGAGTTTCAGCTTCTTCGCGTAACTCCAGACTTATGCAATGAAGTGAAAGAGGTAAGTACTTGATAATATCATTAAATGTATACTATTTTTCGTCTCTGCAGTTATTGGTAAATATATCGGTAAACCATGAATTCGGGTGTTTGATCACCAATCTGAAGGAATCGCCATTGGCCACATCTGAGCTTGGAGAAATAATTAGGCATATCCTTTCCCTAGGAATTTCTTTTGCCATTCGCCATGTGGAGAGTGGGATAATTGTGGCCGGAATCGCCAATATAATATTTGTAGGTTTTTTAATACTATTAAATTTTAACATTAATTTACATAATAATGCACCCAAATAGAATGTGAAAAGGAAGTGCTCATATTACGATACGTGTGCCAAGATCAAAAGCCCAAACATGTTGGAATATATCAAGTTGTGGGATGCCGTCGATGTGAGCATGGATATCAATGAACTTTGTCAGGTAGACAGCACTGCGGATGTGGAATACATGGGCACTTTGCCGGAATTCAGGCGACGTGGTCTGGCCAATATTTTATGCCAACATACCATCGATTTTGTCAGACTCATGTCCCAGGGAAAGCTTCCTCCGGATGTGTTCGCCCAGTTGCCCAACGAGATGCAGATTGAAAGACCAAAGGCCGTTGTCACCATAGCCACTTCTGTAGCTTCGATTAAATTAGGCCACTTCTTGGGAATGCAAGTCGTTCATAAGTGGCATTTTTCCGAACTAAGAAAATTAGGAAGAATTGCGGAGTCCATAGACAAAAAGTCTTTCGAATATGCAGAACTGCAAATAATAATGGTTTAATTCAATTCGGAGAACAATTTTTTTTAATGATCCTTAAAAAATTAAATCGTTGAACATTTTTTAGTTTTTAAATCGATAATAAACGTTCCTTCGTAGATAATGATGTTAAATATTTCTTCTTTCGACTTTTTATAAGCTTGTGAAATGTTTGTAAATCAGTTAAATGGTTAGAAAATAATAATTTCACACTTTATTTTAATTCGAGAAGCTTGATTCTAGAGTTTGAATCTATCTTTGGTCTTTGGAACACTGCTCGCTTAAGTATGAACAACGGCATCAGCATTTTAGGTGGCGAGTTTGAACTACTCCGGGTGACCCCAGACCTATACAATGAAGCTGAAGAGGTGAACATGCCACATTTTTGGGGTAAACCTTAATCAATGATATACATTTAGATATTGACTGATTTGTCGGTAAATGAGGAATTCTTATGCCTGTGCGCCAATCTTAAGGAGTCGCCGCAGGCGATTGAAGAGCTTCGTACTCTAATTAGGCATATATTATCCTGCGGAATTTCCTTCGTTATTCGACAAGTGAAAAGTGGAAAAATTGCGGCTGCCCTGACTAGTATAATCTTCGTAAGTTCTTTAATGTGAGCAGTAAACCAATTTTAATCATATAAAAATCTATAATGACAGAACTACAAAAAGGATTCCATATACTTTCATTTAATGGATCAGTTCAAAAGTCCCAATATGGTGAGATACAGGCAATTGATGAATGCCATTGAGAACAGCTTTGATATGTACAAGGAGTGGCAGGTGGATAATATTTTGGAGGTGGAATACATGGGCACTTTGCCAGAATTCCGAGGCCGTGGCCTAGCATCTATTTTAACCCAGTACATTATTAGTTTTGGAAAACTTATGTCCCAGGGGAATCTACCACCGGAGGTATTTTCACAACTTTCCAGCGAGATGCAAGTGAATAAGCCAAGTGCCATATGTACCATTGGCACATCGTCAACATACATAAGATACATGGAGAAGATGGGGATTTCAATGGCTTATAGGTGGAAAGTTTCAAAGTTGAGATCCTGGGCAGGAGACACCGCAAAACATAGCGACGAAGAGGCTTTTCAGTATGCGGAGCTCTATGGGATAAATTATTAAACGTAAATATTTTGTAGACTAAAAGTGTGAAATATTTATCACACTCTTTGATTTTGGAGAAACTCTTTCTTCATAATCAATACCTCATGTTGTTATAAATCCGTAAGCTTTATGTGTCATTTGGGTAATCCTTGAGGAAAATCGAAATAAATCAACGTGCGAAAATGTTCACGTGCTTAATCCATATATGAAGAAGAAAGGACGTTTTTTTAGAGCTTCCCAAATATACGATCTGCGATGATTAATCAGCATATATAAGTAAAATATTATAAGGATGATTATAAAACTTATTTAAAGGGTTTTAAATAAAAAGTATGAGTATCTTTTTATATTTATAAACATTGAAAATTAAAATTCCTTTTTGTTCTGAAATTTTTTTAGTCTTTAATCTGTAAAAATATACAAAAGTTTAAAAGATAATCAGAATTCGTTAAAACTGCACTTGCTTCCCTTAGGATTTATATAAGTTCGGGCCACAAATTGTCAATCTAACTATTATAGTTTTATTTTAATAATATCGCTGAATTAAAACTGGGTCTAGAAATAAATATAATTGAATAACTTTTCAGAACGTTTCAAAAGTTTTAATCCTTACTGAATCCACTCAGAACTCAGCTCACCCCTTTCCAAATGTCTATCCTCATTGTTGATTTCAATTTTTGCACTTTTGAAAAAAAACTTTTCAAATGAGATTAAAATTTACACAACTCGGGGCTCGGTGAGGCATGCTCTCGAAGGGATTTTCTCGGGGTTTCCCTAATGCCCGGTGTCAACACAGAGGATGGACTACAGGCAAGCGGCCAGGAAATCGGGTGAGCAGTGTGATAAGCATTTCGATCCTACTTTGCCTCTACCTCAACAATGAACTGGGGTTTTTAATTAGAATTCGAATAACGAAAAAATTGAAAGTACTTAAAAATAGTAGGGGAGAAGTCCAGGACAAAAACCCTTGCGGCAGGGGCAATTGCGTGTAATGATATCGCAGATCGCAAAGGACTCGCATATAGGGTTGTCTGCCAAAGAGGCGGTTACGCTTGATTGTGTTATATGACGTGTGCATAATTCTCCGAGTGCCAGTCAATTTCGGGCCAGTTCAGCTAGTTGCAGTTACAGATAGAACAATTTATCGAAACATCGAGAGGCCAGACTCAAATATGATTTACTTACTTAACTGTCATTTCAAAAGAGAACGTTTCAATAGATTATATAAGGAAAAACAAAGGTTTTAAGATTCTTTGTAGATTTATTTAGTATTTTAAATATTAAAGGTCTACACTTTCTAAGAATCTTTTATAATAACTATTATTTTTCTTTGTGTATAAATAAGAACTACAACTAAGTGAAACTATATGTGTTAATTATGACTTTAGGGCTTCAATTATAGACCAGGCTATTTGATATTTGTGTGAGAATTATAGGCTGCATATAATTGCTGCTGAAAAAATTGTGAAAAATTACTCGAGTTTAAGATATCAAAATACTAGAATAAAAAATAATGCCTATGATTTCACTATCCTATGGATGATCTATGATCTCTGCCATGTAAACCTAAAGGCTTTTATACTACCAATTGCCGCTGCAAGACAACTTGATAAAATTGAAAACTAATTTGTTTATACAGCTGCACAAAACGAGCAGCGCCGGCAACGATAACAACGTAGAAACAAAGCTGAAGGAGAAGGTCTGGGGGTAGGCGGCAGGCAGCAGCAGGAGCCTTCCTGGCAAAGGCAAAACAATTTGTTTATCATGGTAGCCTTAGTGAGGTTGTCTGATGATGAGGCAACACACACACAGGCACGGGAAAAAGAACAACAAACAAACAGAGTTCGGGCGAGGAACAGGGCAAGGATGAGCCCGGCAACGCATCAGGGAAGGGCAGCATACTCGGTATTACACTGTACAAATTAAGCAAAAGGTTAACTTGGATGTTAATTTTTTATTTAATTTTAAGATTGTTGAACCATAAAAGAATATTTTGTAAACATTCTCAAATATAAAATATTTGCGAGCGAGAAAATTGAATATATATTAGTATTATCAATAATTATGGTTTAATAAGTTTTTCAATTAAACAATTTTACAGACACTTTCTTATGCTATCAGATTCTATATATCTATTCAACTCGCTATGTAAAATACATATGGAAAGACCTTAAAATAGGTGTAGGAATTATACCCAGTTATTATCATTTAACTTCAACCTTTTCTTCGAGTGCATCATATTTTGACACCCTTGTCTCTGCTGAGCCCCGCAAAATATGCAGTATATACTGCAATCGCCTTTTAATGGAGTTGTTTAAAAAAAAAGGGAAAGAGGAAATCCTAGACAGTGCAAATATTTGAATTTGCACGCTGCTAATGCTTAAAAATTATGCTGGTTGACAAATTTCTATGGGGATTCCTTGTCAGGCAAACTATTCTGTGTTTTTTTTTTACCATGTTTGGTAAGCTCGTCTTGGTTGCAACAAATCATTAATTAGACTTAGGAGAGGTACGAACTAATCCCGACGATGGAATCAGTCACTCACAAGAGAGATCTTTATTCCCGCACATCACTGCGGAACTTGTGCAGCTGCCACCACAACGTGCCACCCCTCAGATGCACCTCCGCCCCCTGGGGTAAAACACTTGTCTACATCAAACATCAACACCTTCCATTGTCAAGCACTTGGGCAATAATTCCGCTTAAACAGATAAACGAGCGCTCGAATCAAAAAACAATTGAAAGCGCTCACAATGTGAAAATGGTATAGAGCATGGCCTGAAACATCACATTCCGCACCCTCCCCAACCCCTGGCTAAACTTAATAAGCTTATGACACCCCGAAAATGCAACCCTGCTTTGGCCAAAACTTTTGGTTTGCCGCTTTCCGATTGGTTCATAGCTTTGGCACCGCCCCTTTGGCTGTATCTTTTGATGTGGCACCGCCATTAAAAGACTCAATACATGGCACACACTATCCACCCCTTGCCGCAGTGTTCTTATCAGACAGGTCCTGTGGAAGTTCCAGGTTCGATTCCCAGGCTCAGGCACTCGCTTCCCGGCATTCAGAGAGTTCGCAACACAACGCGCTTCGATGTCAGAGTTCGCGGTTCGGTCCCGTACATAAGGATTACTGGGGTGTTGGTTACTGGGAAATCGGTAGTGTTAATCGAGTGTGAAAATATTTGGTGCTTAGGTGTATGTGCAATTGGAAAATATAGTCAACCATTTCTTAGAAATTGGGATATTACGATATTTTTTAGATTTAAGTCTGGTCAGAGGATTAGTGGATACTCCTGTTTTGGTAAGTATATAAGCAAGCATCTATAAGATTTTTGAGTTGCTAAAAATTAAAAAAGTACATGTGAAATTATTAACCCTAAATAAGAAGAAAAAAGGTTAAATTACTTGACTAGCTTATTAAATCAATTATGGGCTACTATCCATATACGGCCTTGTTAATGTGAATCTCGAGAATCCTCTTTCCCATATACTAGCTTAGAATAGCTTTCATCGGATTCGATTCCTGAAATTTCTTAACTTTAAGGCTTTATAATTATAAAATTTTACAGTGAAAGAACTAAATAAATGTTGAAATTTCTTTCATTTACATACGAGGTGTGTTCAAAAAGTAAGGTGACTCTTCAAATTTCGCGAATTTCAAATTTTTCGATTATCGAAACCTTTTAGAAGTTATGCGAGGTGTGTTCAAAAGTAAGGTGACTTTTCAAATTTCAAATTTTTCAAATTTTCGATTATCTTCAGTTTTGGGAACAAGAAAAGTCACATGGGGCCAAATCCGGTGAATATGGTGGCTGAGGCATTATTGTGGTGTTGTTTTTGGCCAAAAATCCAAATCCTTTGATCCATATTTTTCGATAGCAAAAATCGCCGAGCTCGCAAATAACTTGTAACTTTACGCCTCTCACAACCAAACAAAGAGGATGTTCCATTGAAACTTGGTACAGATGTTAGGGAAGAGTGTACCAATATAACAAAACAAAAAAATCGATAATCGAAAAATTTGAAATTCGCGAAATTTGAAGAGTCACCTTACTTTTTGAACACACCTCGTATATACAAATCTTAAAGTTTAAACATTAGAGAACAACAATAAATCTTAAGTAAAACTACAATACGGTCCTTGAAAGCCATTTAAAGAAGAAACTTTGACCTTAATTCCGTTTAATTCAAGTTGTACCCAAGTTCATATTTTAATACATAATTGAGAAAGGAAGGGCTTTACAGTGTACAACACTTTTGGCGTCTTAGTAAAAAAATGTAAACTTCCTTATTATCAAGTAAAGCTTAGAACAACCATTAGATCAGTTTATAAATATGTAAAATATTATCTTATCTTCTTTACTGTTTACCAACTCGATCATAAAAAACTTTGATATCCATGTAAATGACACATTTCATATCTATTAAACCACAAAGCCATGCCTTATCTAATCGAAACAATGTTGGACATATTTATTACCGATATCAACAACTAAACAAAATCAACAAAAGGAAGTAACCCCCTGATATGTATTCAATGCACTTTTTAGAGAGAAGTTAAAGTCAAGGCCCACGATACGCGTTTCACTTGTCCAACTTGGTGTCCCCCTCCCGAATTCGGAGTCTTGTGGCACGTGCTGGTCACGCGTCGCCTATCAGCGAATCGGAAGTGTTAGCTTTACCGTTATGCACTTGTCTGCCAATTAACCAGACAAACAGAAGCGCAACAGATTTACCAGCTCAGCGTTCCCTCATTGCCCGACTATGTTTTCCATGGACAACTTTGACTTGGAGGCCACGATGGCTCGTCATTTCTTCGAAGGATCGCAGGCCACCAATGCCTCCACCTCCAGCTCCGATTATTTCTTTGGGGACGAACACAGCTCGGAGAGCGATGACGAGGATGATGCCTATAGCAGTGGCTTCAATAGCGATCAGGAGAATACTGAGAAGACGTAAGTATGACCTTAGTTTCCATTCTGGACCACAATTAATCGACTTCAGCTTCTTTCAATTCAGACGAAGGAGTCACAAGCCTCGGCGCTTGAAGTGCGCCTCCCAAATGGCTCAGCAACGGCAGGCTGCCAATCTCCGCGAGCGCCGACGGATGCAGAGCATCAACGAGGCGTTCGAGGGTCTGCGCACCCATATTCCCACGCTGCCCTACGAGAAGCGACTGAGCAAGGTACATTTAAAGCTATTTTATGTTTTTATTGGGAAGCAACAAATTATATACCATATGTTTAAAAATCTTCTTAGGATTTGCAAAATATCTTGTAGTGTTCAGCCTTAAAGTGAATATAATTTATGCTCCTGTAAAGGAGCTATAGGCTATTAGGCTATGCTACTCATCCTGTTCTGCTTAATATAAATAAAATAATCTAAAGCACTTTAACAAATATTAGGCCATGTTTTAAATTGGCTTAAAAACTTACAAGTATATATTTTAGAAGATGTTTGCTCTTTTTTATATTGTTTAGACAATGTTGTGTAGACGGACAATGCAATATTGTTATTATATATATTATTATCCCTTTCCGTTTTAAAAATCAAAGACTTTACATAGAAACTCGATTTTTGGTGCTTTTTGATCTTACCGTTTACTTTAGTATATTAATTCATATTAAAATTTGTTATTAACTACCATCTTTCGCCTTACATTAAATATAAATCTAGGTTTATTAATGCAAATGATTAAACGGTACGGTTCTTTCTAAAGTATTATTTCTTCTTAAAATAACCCATCTGATTGGTTCCCTTTCCAGGTCGACACACTCAAGCTGGCCATCAGCTACATAACCTTCCTGAGCGAAATGGTCAAGAAGGATAAGAATGGGAACGAACCAGGTCTAAGTTTGCAGCGCAATTACCAGAAGGAACCGCCCAAGAAAATCATCCTTAAAGATCGCAGTAAGTTGTCAATCAATCAAATGCCATGTATCAAATAGGTGGGCGGATGGTCAGCGGGAACTGGTACACATTTAATAACATTATACATCCGGGGCACTAGCCTATTCAAAGGTTATCCATGGGTAGAACGGTTGTTGCTGGGGATAGGACCTGAACAGGGGATGCTGAACTGCATCCCAGCCCAATGATTCTGGGTCTGCCGTGTCTGCCTAAGTGTAACTAATTAGAATTTTCACACTTTTCGCTCGGGGTTTTTGGGTTCGCATTGCGGGCTTTGCGTGACTGCCAGTCAAGCAAATTGTTTTGCTCATCGCCGTCGCATCGATCATCGAGGATGTGGATATATGGATGCGAATGTGGCATGCCAGGGTTTTCACAAGTTTCACCCGGGATACAATGGCCGTGGATTAGGGGTTCCCGTGTGCCAGCTCATAAAAGTTGCTTTGGTCACGGTTTTTTGGTTAATAATTTTCCTATTCAAAATGTATGACACTGCAGCCTGCAGCTAGATCCTTCGTAAAGGATCCTTGGAAAGCATCTGCATAGCTAATAGTCTGGGCACTTGGAAACCCAAAAAGGGTGTTGACTTGGGGGTTTTGCGAATGGGAAAGGGTGACGTTACTTATTGAGTGTTATGTATAGCCCTTACAAAAAGGTATACACATTTTTTTAGTATTTTATTAATTTGTGTCACAACACAAATTTAATTTGGTTAAAGTTGAGCTAGAACTGGTTTTAGAATGGGAAAATCTTTCATCAGTGGAGTAATTTGTATTACGATTTACAGCTCTGGGAATTGAGTTGTGATACAAAAAATATCTTATTAAAATGTTTATTTATGGGAAATTTATAATTAGACAAATACTTAGGAAAAAAGATTTATTTTTTATTGAAATTGAATTTTAGTAATTTTCTAGGTGTACTTTTTCCTTAAATGGGATGAAAAGTTAAAACAAACTGGTTAACTTTCAAATTGAACAATCCTGAATTTTTGTTGCCTTTTTTTAAAAATATTTAGGAATCTTTCTATCTTTATATTTATAAATGATTTCTGATATAATGCCATGTTTAATAAACCCAATAAGTGTATTCATTTAGTCCCTGTATAACAAGTTATTAACTACCATCTTAGAGATTTAAGACCTTCAGAAAGTTTTAAAATCGATTGGCAGACATTTTTGTTTAACAAGTTTTCCTAAGTTTCCTATAAATAATTTCATAACCATATTCGTGCTTTTGAATCTTGTTTTAGATAGCCAGACTTATTGATTAAGCTTCTTAGCAGTAGACCTCCTGATTGTTTATTCAAAAACCAAACAGATTTATTTTATTGCTGCCCTCCTTTTAGGCCTATTTATCAGTTATTTCGATTTAGTCCCGACAAAATGAACATGCAAGCTCTGATGTGTAATTTGTGTCTACCTGATAAAAGTCCCACATGCACCACATACTCGAATACACCTTGCCCGATCCCATCTCCAGCTCCTCAACGACTGACAAAAGGGGAGTGCATACGGCGGGGGTGGAGGAACGAAACCCAGCCAAACCGAACCAAGTAGTAACAATAACACGAACAACAAAGCCCAATCGACATAATCATAGCGTGAGAAATTCGTTACACTCCAGCAAATGGTTGCTGTCGCCGTTGCTGCCGCCGCTTAAAGGCCAAATGGAAGGCGACCAGGTCAGAATGAAAACGGGCGAACTCAGAGAGATGGCCATGTTGATGGCGAAAGCGTTTTCATGCTCAACTGGCATTAAAAATGTTGCAGAAAAAGCAGAAACAAAAATACTACGAAAGTTTGCCGAAAGGGAAGCTCCACGAAAAACGACCATTTAAATGGGTCTAAAGAAGAGGGGTTGGGGATTTTTGGCACGCGCCTGGCATATGTTCACACCAACTTGCAGAGATGCGGAAGTGGAAGTGGTAGCGGAAGCTGCGCCGGAAAATGGTCGGGGATCGCATATTTGAGCAACACCCGCATGAGGCACTCGAAAACTGCGAGAGCTACAAATTGCCCGACTTGGGTGGCAAGTTGGTTCTGATTGGATATGGTTGTGGAAAAAAAGGAGGAGGAAGAGGATGGCGGCGGATAGTAGGGATTCCTGTTTGGGCTTTACTTTTGGTTTTTGGGTTTATTTGTCCAAGGCAAATGGCTGGGCGCAGCGGGGTGGCAGCTGCAACAACAAACCCCGGGGATCAACCCTTTGCAGTATTTGTTTGTCCTGCCTCGTTGATGGCCCCGTAATGTGGTCGCTAATGGCATTTGCTCAGTTTTTGGCAACAATCTTAATTGTTTGGGCGGCGCTTGACTCTGTAATGGGAGTTTTTGGAGTTTGAGGACGTTTCATGATATCGATTGGATGAATTATTTTCTTTCAAAATACCATACATATATTGACTTCCACAAAATTTAAAGTTTTCAAATTAAATAGGCTTAAAAACCTCAGAAAATTAAACTTCAAAAAAATAAGTAAGACAATTAAAAATTGAAGACATCTTTAAATTTAAGTTTGGCTTTTAAAGTACATATACATGTATATTTATTTTCTAGTTTAAGTTCATTTCTGACATTACATTATTGCATTTTATAGACCTAATGTTTTTTTATTAACTGCCCCGGCTTAAGTAAATAACCTTATATTATATATGTTTCTAGCTTCAAAGTTAAAAAGCTTCTTTTCAAAATACAAGCTTTTGATTAGTACTTCTTAGTGGCTTTTATTGATAACGTTGTACTTGTATAAGGTCAGATGTTATTTCTATACGTAAGATCTTTTTATGTTGCTACGTGAAAACAATTATTGGGAGGCCCAAATATTTGGACAGATAAGGCAATCATAAGACTTGGGCTATATTATTTTATTTATTCCCTAACGTGGGGTATTATTATGTAAAAGTTTCATATTTGCTAACCATGTGTTCATCCTTTATCTACCACTTGCAGCTGGCGGCGTGGCGCACTCGTTGTCCTGGTACCGCAAGGGTGACCGATATCCCGGTAGCAAGCTCTACGCCCGGACCTGGACACCAGAGGATCCCCGGGGACCCCATTCGCAGCCCCTGCCGCTATACAACAACAGCAACTCGAATCAGAATCAAAACAGCAACCAGAGTAGCGACGACTTCGGCGGAAGTGCCGATATGTCCGATCCGGGAGCAGCGGCCAGTATTTACAGCAGCGGCAGTGGAATGTGAATTTCAGGAGATTTCCGCCTGAAAATTCATGGAGGCAGTCAAAATGAGAGAATGAGATTCAATGGAAATCCTACTAGTCAAGCCATGCTAGTCACGGCATCTAACACATATTAACCAACTTAATAATTATATGAGGAAAACATGTTCTGTGGTATTTAATTGCTCTAAGTTCGCTAATATCTAAATGTTATACATAGTGGTTTAGTTTAAATCGAATAAACATTTCACACAAATCTACTGGCCACTATCTAATTGCAGTTCAAGCGGTGAGGGCAAAAGGAGCAATTTGAGGATAAATTATATAGTTATCAGCACGAGCGTGTATTGAACACCTGGCCTTGGTTGTCCTGTTGTTGTCCTGCTTGTCCTCTTGGCCTCTACACCCCGATATTGTCGATATCATTAAAAAAGAGGGACAACGGGTGAACAGACAAATATCATAAAGTGCAAGTGCAGTTCATTTTTTCGCTCTTGGGGGTGGGTGGAAATTGTACACTGTGGAAAAATATAGCTTACTTGAAATGGCTTACAGATAACTTAATGTGATTCCTAGCAAAGACTTTGAAGAAAGGAGGTTCTTATTATAGCTTCAAATATTTTCTTTTTAAAAATATATATTTTTGAAAATATTAGACAAAAAAGGCCTTTTTATCGACTCCACACAACAACCCATGGTTTCTACTGTTTATTTAGAAAATATTCCCTTGTAATGTTAAATGTATAATATTGTAGTAAGAAATTTTACTTAGTGTATGCAACGGTTTACGAGGCACTGCAACTAGAAAATTATTTCCGGTCTTCCGACATGCATGTCCACACTCTGAACAGAATTTCCTTGAAAACAACATGAAAAATTATTATTTTTAAGCGTTTTTATTCGGCGGTGTGAGCGTGCCATTTAAAACATCATTATGACTGTTAACCGATGGACGGGCAGATGTTGTCCGTTTGGCTGAGCAATTGAGATGTTTATCTGCAATTAGGATTAGCTCGTGGCAGGGGTGATTCGGCGATGACGTGATTGAGCGATGTGATTGTGAGGCGATCCAAGTTGATATATCAATTCGATCGTATGTAAATGTATGCCTTCTGTTTAGGTTGCTGTGGTCAAAGATTTAATTAACTGTCGTGGGCAACAGCTGCACCGGGTTAATCAAAATCTGATAAGTTGCGGACTAAGGGTGAGTGTTCCAATACTATATTGTCAATCAAGCTAAATCAAGCTTTACAAAATGTATGCTTATGACTTTGAATTGCTTCCCAAAATAAAGAAATATGATTTGTTAAGATGCAGATTCTTTTGGAATTTACAAAGGGGAACCCTAAAATGTTTCCTTATTTCATTTTCATTTTCAAAACAATTAAAATTCATCTCACTTTGGAGATAAATTTAGCATAAAAATGTCACAAATCGAATGAATAATTTGTGTGGAATTAATATGAACTTATTCGTAATTGCAATAAAATTTAAAAAACAGAAATATTTGTTTAATTTCATGGCTCTTATAAAGAACATCTGGTTTTGGTTTAAGATAAAATTAGGTCTTATTTGGAGAGGTTAGTCAGTGTTTTTATTTATATAAAAGCGATAGTCTTAGAGTTTAATTAAAACTTATTTTATATTTTTATATGCAAGCAAATTCACAAAAAAGCAAATTAATTTTTTTATATTTCACCAAAGTAAAAACATAATCAGAAGCCAATTGCTAGTTAATTTAAAATGTTAACTTTATTGATTAAAATTCTCTTCAAAACCTATTAATTAATAAACTCTAGAGCTCTTTCGTTTAGAGCTTCACGGGAGATTCAAGTTTTAGACTCGTCAGCTTTTTTATTATAGAGTCTTTATAGTCGGAAAAGAAATCCTCAATCTCACCGCGACATGCCACCTGGATATTCTTAAGGCAAAGGCTGATGCAAAGCGGGTCCCCATTGTTCAGTCGATAGGCTAGATTCTGCTTTAGATGAGGGGCCAGACCCAGGCGGGCAAGGATGTCCAACTCAAAAGAGTCATACAAAGGGTGCTTTTCGGCTAGGAACTCGGCGCACTTCTCATGAATGTCCAGGCACTGTAAGGAAATTTTTTTTGTGGAAACCTTTGACTCCATGTAACGCCTTAGTAGCTTAGAGGCTTCCTTGTCGTGCAGGGTCTTCTCAACGTTGTTCGCCAGCTCTAAGATCTTCTCCACCTCGGCCAACGACATCGTCTCAATAAGCTCCTCAAATGTAGCCTAGCGGTTAAAAAATTAAGATTTAGTGGTATTATTATGTTAAATTTCAATTATTTAGAAACCTTTTTTGAATTGCATGCCATGTCGTATGTATTTAATTATTGTTTTAAAAAATTATGAGTCGGGTATGTGAATGGGCATCGCCTTTTATAGTCCCAAATGTGGCGATGCTGACCTTTATTTTTCGTTGTTTAATTGTTATTGGCACACTCATTCTTCTACATAAAAAAATTAAATTTAAAAGTGAATCATCTTGTTTAGCTTTTTGATGCTTTGCAAAGTTCAATACATCCCAAGTTATACCCATCATAATCTATGCCAAATATATATTTAAATCAATAAAATATTTAAAAATAGTAAGGTTATTATAGAAATCCTCTTGGTTTTGTACGAAAAAGGTTTTTTCAAATTTTTAAATTATTTTGAATTTCTTACCCTTGGCGGGTAAATTTGTGAGTGCTGCCAACTCCTGTGCAGAAATGGTGTGGTATTCTTACGTTTTGCAACACTGCAGCTGGTGCACGCTTTGTTACCAATTAAACATTGTTTTGTTTCTGATATTTGGCTGTCATGCGGTTCGCTCAGATAATAGTGGGTCCTGCCGGCAGTGGAAAGGTATGTTCAACAAACTACCACCAAATATCGCCCATAATCTTAACCCGATCTACTCAGTCCACTTACTGCAGCCAAATGCAGCAATACGCGATGGATTCCAAGCGAAATATCCAAGTGGTCAACCTCGATCCAGCGGCAGAGCACTTTAACTATAATCCACTGACGGATATAAGAGAGCTGATCCACCTGGACGATGCCATGGAAGATGAAGAGCTGCATTACGGACCAAATGGCGGTTTGATCTTCTGCCTGGAGTTTTTGATCGAGAACCAAAATTGGTTGAAAGATCAGCTATGCGGGGGAGAAGATGAGTTGATGGTGGGTGAGCCGGATGACGACTACATCCTGTTTGACATGCCTGGCCAGATCGAACTATTTACACACCTACAGATGGGCAAGCAGCTGGTGCAGTTGCTCGAGTCATGGAACTTCCGAACCTGCGTCGTATTTTGCTTGGACTCACAGTTTATGGTGGACGGTGCCAAGTTTATATCTGGCACTATGGCCGCACTTAGTGTGATGGCCAATATGGAGCAGCCACATGTCAACGTGCTGACCAAAGTGGATCTGCTGAGCAGTGAAGAGCGGAAGAGGCTGGAAATGTACCTGGAGCCGGATGCTCACAGTTTGATGGGGGAGTTAACCATTGGCTCGACCTTTGGCGTGAAGTACGCTAAGCTTACGGAAGCTATTGGTTCGCTGATTGAGGATTTCAGGTAAGTTACTCCAAAATTTGAAAATTTTCATTTTCAAAGATCTAGAAATTTGATCAGACTAGAAAAATCTGTATACATTTTTGTTAAATTGACCTGGTGCTAAAGCAAAATATTAAGCATTATAATAATAAAGGGTTTACTGATTAGACTGCAATATTAGGCATAGTCTATAAATTTCGTTTTTTACAGCATAAAATGACACAAATTAAATTAATTTATGTTTAATTTTTATGATGCACAAATGATAGGTAAATAGATTTGCAAAAACTATTCTTCCATAATTTTACATTTTCTTAGACGTAAACATTTTTTTTTTTTTTACTAGATTTTTATTAAATTTGCCTGGAAATTATAAATACAAAATTACAAAATAGTTCATTGAAACAATTTTAATAGTGGAACATATTAATATTATTAATATTTATTCTGTATGTTATATATATTCATGCCTATTTATATATATTGAATATTTTACAATATTAAGAAAGATAGAACGTTTTTCAAATTCCTAGTTAAAAGAGCTTTAAACCTACTGGTTTAGGCTTTAGCCTTGCGCGTCGGATGGAATGGGTGTTCCATTTGTGACAAATCTGGAGGATTCTGCTCAAATGCAGCGATCTCTTGCATGCCGCTGTTAGCGATTTCCCACAGCTGCGGGTATTCCGCCTTGAAGGTTTCATACCACTTGTGTACCAACGGGTACTGTATCAAATCAAAGTTAATGGCTTCCAAACAAAGAGTCGCGGAAATGAGACCGAAATCGGCAATGGTTATGTTTTCGCCGGCCGCGTACTTGGTGCCTAGTCGCTCCAAATAGGTTTCGAATACCTCAAGTGCATTCTGTACCTTCTTGAGAGACATAGGTGTACGTTCGTAGTCGAAGAAAATTGGTGCCATGCTATGGGCAGAGATGGGCGCGTAGTAGAATCCCATGTTGAAGCACAGTCGCTGATTGATTATCGCTCTAGCGTTGACCTCCTGCGGATACAACGTTGAATCCGGTGCGTATTTGTCACACAGATATTGCATAATGGCAATACTCTCTGATAGATAGAATCCATCGTCATCCAGCACAGGGATCTCCTTCTGTGGATTCATCTGAAAGATTTTAAGCAATTACAATTCTGAACATCTCCAGGGCTGGTTAATATATGCAACACATACCCTCGAATAATCCTCAGTGCGATGTTGTAGTGCGCAAAAGTCCACATTAATTAGTTGATATTGTATATCCAAAGCCTTCAGGGTCATACGAACGGCCAAGGATGGCGGTCCGTCGGATACGGCGTACAGTTTCATGGTGTATATTGGCCTGGAGTTAAAAAATAAGTATTAGTTTTTTATTTGACTCTTGTTTGACCGGTTTGTTTGTCGCCACTAGCAAGAAAAGTGAAAGTAATGTGCCTCTAGTGCTTCTATAATTGAATATTTCTATTTTTGGTTCCATTTTTGCTGTAGCTATTTTCATTATGTATATATATTGATGTGTGCTAATTTCTGGGCTTTTTTAGATATTTTTTTCTAATACTGAATAACTTAAAACTCACTCTAAGTGTGCGCTCGCGCAGCTCCCATGAACTACTAATGAGCTATGCCAAGCTGCCAGATATTGCAGGTGTTCATTTCAATGACAATTAAAACAAGTTTTATGAATATGAGATTGAATGGATAGAGATCGATCGTCTAATACTCTTACTGTCAATTCGTCTCTTGAAAACTATGGAGCATTCAAGTTATGACAGATATAAGATTTGGGCGAAATTAGTTTATGTTGTCATTGTCTTCCCATATGCAGAAAGTTTAAAAATATTGAATGTTTCAAAGGGTATTTGGGTTCATTATGTTTATTTTGTTATGAAAATCCAATCAAACTTTTTTAAGTGTACATGAAGTTAGTTTCTTTATTGCTTTTAAAATAAAAGGTTTTTTTCTCTCTTTGATATAAAAATAGGAGTAGTAATCGAAAGTGAAATAAATTTATGAATTATGAGGCGAAAAGGTATATCTTTAACGAATGGTTATACATACACAATAGCGCCGTAGCTGTCCATGTCATCAGCCACTTCCTCCACGACTTCGATGATGCTATCAGTGTTGTCCACCTCCACGTACTGATGTTCGCCTTCCATGGTCATTTCAATGCCCTCCTCTTGCTCTTGATATTCTTCCTCCTCGATGACCACATCTTCTTCCTCATCGTGATGATCAACCTTCTGAGAGTTGGATAATGATACTGAACCGCTATTATGACTGCCCGGTACCCGTGGCTTCTTGTGAACGACAATGTCGCTGCTGATGTTAGATACATTGAGGCGTTCGATGGCCAAATCGCCATACTCCTGCTGAATCTGATCCAGCGATTTGCCGATAAAGTGGAGAGGTCGGAACTTAAGCTTCTTGTTATTCTTCTTGTTGATCTCGTTGAACAATCTTCGCTTGATGTCATCCTCGCTGAATGGATGGCTGTGACTGTTGTATACTCGAAGGACTCGAATGGAGCCATCTTTTTGGGTGGCCGTCGAGATGCGGCTTTTGCAGTTGATTTCCGGATCGCGGCTCTTAATGCACACCCAGTAGTTGCGTGAGATTACGCCTCGGTTCTTGGCATGGTAAATATAACCATCGACACACAGGAGTTCGTGACCCTTGGCAGATCTTAGAGTACAAATCTTTGTTAGATCCATATCCGGTTGCGCACCTTTTGTAGGCTCCACAACCTCACGTCGGCGGCGAATGTTAGTAATCTCGGGCTGACGAACTTTCGGCAAAGGTGTGGATGCGTAAACAGCATGGGACTGCGGGTCAAGCTCCTCCAGAGCATCAGGCAGTATCTCGATCTTAGCGCTTATGTTGTCAGCACCGTCCTTTAGATACTGCACTATCATATTTGCCTTGGATTCTGGTTCCATTTTGATAGCACCATCGATGCTAATCACTTTCTTCATCACCACATTGCTTGTATCAATGTGTTCGTAGCTGTCAACGCTCTGCTCCGGTTCGAAAGTATCTCCTCCCTGACTGGCTGATCCCTCGTCGCTCTCGAAACTAACATCTTCGCCAGGCTCGCTCTTGAGGTGCTTGTGCGAATTCTCTTGGCTCGCTTTCGCCTGCTGCTTAAGTCGCCGAGCTATTTCTTTTAGATCCGGTGTGTGTGTGTGTTCTCCATTAATCCGTAGTACTACTGGTCCGTTTTCAACTGGATCCAGGGTAATGCGGACGTGACAAGTGTTGACCTTGTCACGACGGTTTATACAAGTGAAAAACATATGGCCATTGCACCTGCTTTGGGAGTCAAAGTGATATAGATGCTGACTCAAGCACAGCACCTTTCGGCCTTTTGCTGAGGGAAGAAATGTAAACTTGGTTAAGTCCGTTTCAGTGAGAGGATTATAACCAGGCGGAGGCAGATAGTTAGCAATTACATCAAACGCTGCTGGCCACTTGGAGTTCTGCCCTTCTTTTAAATCCACCAAAGAGCTCTCCTCGTCCCCTTCGGTGGGAACGAATTCGTCATCGCCTTGAATCTCTCCACCTTGGTCTTCATTTGTTTTTACGTACACATCGTAGTTATCCTCGCACTCTTCAATTATTATAGATTCCAAGTCATCGCATCGCTGAGTTGTATCAATAGTATTTTCTGGATCAAAATATTCAAGATTGGGGCATTCTGCAAGCACGTCCGAGGTTTGCTCATCCTCGACCAGAACGATCTGATGCTTGGAAAACATATGCATCAACTTGGCAGCCGAGTAATGGGGATGAATATGTGCATCGGAGTCGATGGCATGCAATCGATGAGCTCCTGCCAAAGTCGCCTCCGTGCAGATCCTAGCCGTGCAGTCGATGTCACGTTTGCGGACACAGGTCCATCTAAAGATGTCTCCCTTGTACGATTTTCCGGCCAAGTAGTATAGGTGCCCGTCGATGCAGACCATAACACGTCCATCGCGGCGTCGCAGCATATACACTCGGTCCTTGTCCTGCCAGAAAAGATTATATGTTAGTGGTCTCTTTTCAGTAATATCTAAACACTGCTTAAATTAATAATATTTAAAATGTTCACCAAATGGGAATCAATATCTCTTAGGAATTTTAAATTTGTTAAATAAATTTCTTGCTTTTATCGATTTTTCATATATCATATTGCATTCCTTAATTTTATTTTTATATCATACAAATTGTTGATTCGCACACTAGTTGCATGTTATTGAAGTCTTTGAATTAAGTTTTCAAAAAATCCCTAATATCTGGTAAAGGTATTTATAGTATTTTTATTAACCACATAATGAATAAAGAATGGTATTTGAACTCCTTTCTACGGTCTTTCAAAAAAGTCAGCATTTTGATTTTCAAAATTACCTACGTTTTCTCGACTAAAAAGCGAGTTTAGGGTAAAATGTAAATATGAAAGTAGATAAAAAATTAATACATAGAAAACATATGGGCTGACAACACTGATAACTGAAAACATACTTTATAATGATGAACGCTGTTGAAAAGTACATGTTTTCACTACCATATATGCGGTGGATAACCCTAGTTAAGGGATGTCAGGGTATAAAACATTGATAATTAAAATCAGATATAATCTTGTTCTCAAAAATGGTACCACAACTGATAAAAATGCAATCTAAACTAAAAGGCGATATCAACATCCATTAAAGGGAAGGGCTATCAGGGGCATTCAAAAAGTACAGTTGACCTGCGGCCCGTACCTCAAAGTCCAACTGGAAGGAGGCCTCCAGGTTGGAGGTGTCGATGCCACCGTATATAAACTCTGGAGGGTTCATGCCGGCATTGGCGCGCTCGTACTGGCGGGCTCTCTTCGGTTGCGTTGTACTATAGGCGTCGTTCATCATCATTACAGACAACCGTTTTCGTTGGGCAACCTTGTTAACCTCGTGATCGCTGCAGCGCGGATGGATATGGGCCAGAACTACGTCTACAACGACGTGGCGGGTCTTGTCCGTCGGATCGGGCAGCAAAGTACAGATGCGGGACTTGCAGGGGGTGGACTTGTCCTTGCGCCTATTGCACAGCCACCTATAGGTGTTGTTCCGGCCGATGCGATCGAAGTGGTACAGATAGTCGTCAACACAAAGCATATCCACGCCCTTAGCGGATCGCACGACGGACACCTTGGACAGGTCCATGCCGTGCTCCTCGACAGGTGTCTCCATTTTTGAATTCCTGTGGTGTTTTGGCAGTGCCCGGAATTCAGCGTTTTTCGTTTTGCCCCCGAAAAGTGTTTTGTATCGTAAATTAGGCGATTTTTGTAGATGATGGCTGCCTGGGATTTGTTGGTTGGGATTTTTGGTGGTATTTCGTCAGCTCACTATTGGCGCGCGTTATTGCGAATACCGCACTATTACCGCATATGAACTAATTTTTTGCAATTGTATGCACTAAATATAGTTTATTTTTAGTTTTCGGTCTGATTTTAATTGCACAGGCACATTTTCTTTTGCGACGCGTCGAAAAATGCTTTTGTGTGAGATACGAGGGCTGCGAGCGATGCGGTGGCGTTAGGGTTGCCACTTGTTAACTTTGTTTATTTTTATAACGTTTGTAAAATTTAAGTCATTAAAGTAAACTGTTTTTATTTGCAGCTTGGTGAGATTTTTTCCATTGGATCCGCAAAATGAGGAGAGCGTAGGTGATCTTTTAATGCAAATTGACAATATTTTGCAATTCGGCGAAGATGCGGACGTGAACGTTAAGGACTTCGATGAACCAGAAGAAGCAGAAAGAGATCCATACATATTACTGTTTAGGGAAAATAATAATTAATATATTAATTAAATAAATTAAAAAGCAAATAAATATAAATAAATTGCCATTTTTCGGTCGAGAGATCACCATCCCTGGTTTCAGGGTTGATACCTGTAAGACGGGACAGTGTTGTATAGTGTGTGTAAAATTTTAAATTCCTGTACGCGTTCAGCGTCTAAACAAAATAGCGCTTTTAAGAGAAAATAAATGTGAAATAGGTATGCAGGAAACCGACGAAAGTCCCATTGGAATGCCCCTTAGTCAGGAAGCCATTACGCAGCGCCTGGCGGCACTTAGTCGTTGGCAGGACGACCAGAAGCGACTGCTACAGGAGCGTCAGAGCAATCAGCGCGTTTTGCTCGGCTTGGAGCAGCGCAATATGTACAAAATGCTGGGACTGCTGCACCAAGAGACGGAAAACCAGAATATCAGTGTTCTGGAGGACTCTCAGTGGGACGAGGACCACTCCGTACAAATGCCTCGACTTGCGGCGGAGCAGGACGACCAGGAGCTGGAAATTCCCTTGACCAGTCCCCAGCCGGCCAAGCCCAAACGCCCTTTCCTCCGCCGCGGTGAAGGTCTAAAGCAACGCTTCAAAATCAATCCTGATCAACTGCGTCTGGAGAATTTGCCGCGCTATAAGTACGCTAATGCGCACCCCCAGTTCCGAACTCCCCAGCTGAAGAAGGGTATCCTTAAAAAGAAATCACCTCCGGCTTCTTCTCAAGTTCCCAAAGCCCCAGAACAACTTGATATTAACGAGCATCGCTTCCAGCAGGTGCTAATCAACTCCAAGAACGTCTGCAACTCTACGCCAGATCTCAAGTCCTCGTACGCCTCCTCAACAACTGCTTCAAGCATCTCACCCAGAGTTCGTTTTGTAGAGCAAAAAGGGTGGCCCATGCAACCCAACCATGCGGATGATGAAGCCTCCGCAGAGTCCAACCCCTTGACCGGTGTTTGCTGGGCAAAAGTATTGGACACTCAAAGCATTAAGCCACCTCAAATCCAAAGACGCTCTGCACAAATCCGAGTGGAAGATGATAGCAATGTAAGCATCTTCGAGCTACTCGAGCAGAAAGCCACTGAGGGCAACATTGATATGAACTCCAGCTGCATTCGCACCTTCATGGCACGCAAGGATCACCGCCGCGTCTTAGCTGATGACTCTGATCACATTGTAGTAACACAACAGGTGAGGCAGATGCGGTTGCAACCGCAAGTGGATAAGGTGATGGTCCACGAATTGGATGAGGAGGAGGAGGACGACGACGAACAACAGTCCAGTGAACAAACTCTGACAACGACACCCATCCAGGTGGGGAAAACCCAAGTGAGAGTGCGCTTCTCCGACTCTAATGATACCCACGAATATTCTGATGCAACCAGTCTTAACGACGGCTCCAATATTCAGCTCTTTGAACAGTTCAAGTCGGCTCTTTTTCAGGCTTTGGAGAAGAAGAAGAAGTCAAGTCCCAGTCAGCAGCCAGAAGAACCCTTAACCCAAGAGCTGCAGGAAAAGGCCCATCTTGTGCGGACTCGTCTCGAAGAACTTGAGACAGAGATTGCCACCTTTAAGGAACAAAATACCCAACTTCTTCGTCTCAAGCAGCAACACGAACTAGAGAGGGCCAAGTGCACTCAGGATCATATGGAGGCCATGGAACGCGTTCACGACGAAAAGATCCAGGCGGAGATATACCTGCACGACGAGCGCATGAAGATTGAAGAAGAGCGCCGGAAGTTCGAGCAGCAGATGCGACTGCAAAAGAGCAATGCAAATACCAAAGAAAAGAAGGAGATAGCAGCCTTAAAGCAGGAAGTGGAGACACTGCAGCTGCAACTTAAGCAAAAGGAGCAGACCCACGTTTCTGCTCAGGCACGACTTCGTGCTCAATTGCGTGCCAGTGAGAAGGAGCAGCGCAACTACCGCGACGAGATTGAGCTCTTACACAGAGAAAACAAGCGCTTGGAGCAGGAGCTAATCAGGATTGGTCGCGAGAATAACAGCAAAATGCTGCAGGAGATCAACCGAAACATTGCCCGGCTGGCACCCAAAGTGGTTAGTATAAGCCAGAGTACTTCTTGTCAATAATAGGAGTTAACAAATTTCCGTTTTTAGTTGCCCTCTGCCACCATGTCGGATGTACTTGATGAAAACGGACGACGAACTCAATCTTTGGATGGGACAGCTGGTAAGCCTGTAAAGCAACGAGATCCACCAAACCGTCGTCAGAGCAGCGGCAATGCTGAAACGAGAAGCCGCAGTCGCTCCCTGGGCAGAAACAAGAAGAAAATCGAAGCCCTGAATGAGAGCTTCGCCTCCAGCAGTTCTGAGGCAGTGGAAGAAGACCTGCCACCAGTAACAACTGCCAAAGCTAAATCCCCGCTGGCTGCTAACTCTAGCAGCGACTTTAAACGGGAAATAACGAATGCTGATGGTAGCAAGGACATTTGGTATCCCAATGGAAATCTAAAGAAAATCAGTGCAGATGGCATGAGCGTCCGAATGTTATACTTTAACAAGGACATCAAGGAGACTGACATTAGGGAGGGCACCGTAAAGTATTACTACGCTGAGACAAACACCTGGCACACCTCTTATCTGGATGGGTTGGAAATTCTCGAGTTTCCCAATGGACAGACAGAACATCGTCGGAAGGACGGCACCATCGAGATTCACTTTCCTAACAACAGCATTAAGGTAGTCGATCCCAGCGATGCAGAGAAACTAGAGGAGTGGCGTTATGAGGATGGAACTCACCTTGTACAGCTTCGAAACGGGGACAAGATTCTGAATTTACCCAATGGTCAAAAGGAGATTCATACAAAACTAAACAAGCGAAGGGAATACCCGGATGGAACTGTTAAGTTGGTGTATCCGGATGGCAGCCAAGAGACTCGTTACTCCAACGGTCGTGTTCGCTTAAAGGACAAAGACGGCAAGCTCATCATGGACACAGACTATGCTAAGTACTAGAGGCGGGTCTCTTGCTTCCATTGTGAATTAGTTTTTAAATATATATAAAAGTTTCTTTGTTTATTAAACTATATTACATTTGTGGTTTTTTAATTCTACTGCTCCGCATTTGCTCCCTCCTGGGCCATGGCCAAGTAGTGATCAAACATCTTTGGATGTTGATTTAGCAGCTTAGAGGCAAACTGTACGATCTGTTCATAGGTAAACTCTGCCTTGGCTCGCACTCCCCAAAGGAAGAAGGTTTTGGGATCATCGTAGGCGCTCAACTGGGAACGTTCCCGCTTTAGGTACTGTTGCTTCACGAACGTTTCCTCGATCAGTTTGTGGAGATTGGGCCCGAAGTATCCGTGTTCTTCGTCAGCTTGAATATTAAGCATTTCCAGCATTCCCCACAGTTTGGAGTCCTCAATGCGGTTGCCGCGTAAGAAGATGTACATGAGGATAATGTACAGTAGAGTAAACTGGGGTCGTTGTTCCGGAGTAAGCTCGTGAATGGAGGCTAACGGCTCCTCTGCAATGCAAACGAATGTCTTAAAGCCAGCATCCAACGGGGTAAGCAATATACCGAAGCGTTTCGCCAATAATTTAGTGACCAGCGGTAGACGTTTCTTCAGTTCGTTCCTGTCGCCAGCCGCTGGCACCAAATCCTTGTCCTTGATGGGAATCTTCTGGGCGATGTGATCAAGGATGTAGTTTATAATGGCGCGAACTTTATCGTCTAGCTCTTGAACGGGCTGTTGTGATGCCTGAGAGAGATTGACATTCTGGCTTCTAGATGCGCGGGATGTGCTGGCCATTTTCAATTTATATGTCTTAAATAAACTTCAGCTTTTAGTTTTGTTGTTTATTTAGGATTTCTCTAAAATATAATGGTAAAAATCAAAAACAATAGGGTTTTATTCAACACTATCTCGAGATAGAGATGTAACTAAATCGATAGTGGGGTTGGCTTCTCCGCTAAATGTAAGCAATTTATAACCACTAATTGAGAATTAAGAAATCGATAAACAGAGAATTGTTCGGTATATAAATACCGAAATTGCGCGATAATTTAATTTTGGAAAATTTTAATTCTGTCCATTATGTTGCACTTCAATATGCTTGTCTCTTTTCTATACTTTCTCGCTTTATTGGCATTTTAGCCTTTTCAAGTGCAAATGGCCACTTAATGTCCTCGTTAAATCCCACAATCTGGGGCGGCTCAAGTGCTTTCTATAGTGGGTTAATATTGATTTAATTCCTTTTAACACAGCAGCCTTTCCTTTTACACATTTGACTGTCAGTTTAACTTGTGCGCTGAGCCGAAAAGTTTGTATAACAAATATTCTACAATTTATTTAATAGATAACCAGCCAAATAACATATTACATATAAATTGCAAGGAGCCACCAGAGGTGATGTGTTTTTAATTAAAATGGCGAAACCAGCGCGACGTGCGGCAGCAGGAATCAAACAACTTTCAAAACTAAACTCGAATGACATGCACGGTCAACATTCCCCACGGATACTCAAAATAAACAGAGACCGAGCCAAACAAAACGAAATGGAAATGCATTTTGCGCAGACACACGCGCAGGAGTGCACTTCCAGACGCTGGAGAATTACATGGCCAAACATATTTTATTGCCTTGAAATGTGTGTTTTAGGTGGCTGGAGTGAAAACTAGTTACCTACGTCTGAGCAAGGTGCCCGATCCATAAGTGATAAATATACAGGCGGAAGGCAGACAAAAGTTGACTGGCCAGGCGGCAAACTTTAATTGATTTACCATTGTTTCGACCTAAACAAAAGCCAAGTATCAGAGTTCAGATTTTTAGAGCCTTTTGTTAGTCTGAAATGGATATCCGACAGCTTCTGCAATATTTTCTGCGCGACCAGTGACTTTAACAGTCCTAGAATTTGCATGCCAACAAGTGAAATGGCTCACAGTCCGAAGAAACCGCGAGTGAGTGAGTCAACAAAACGCATTGTCAACGCCTCGACTTTGACTTTCTACACACAGGCAAACAGTTTTGCTTTCAAAATACGCATTGTAACGTCGGGTTTGTCAACTCTAGCCCTACCATTTTTATGGCCGGCTAATTGTAGTCAGACGGAGACGGAGAAATGTTTCATTTACTAAAAAGAAAGTCAAGGTCTTTTCTGAGCGACATGAGGGGCAACTTGCTTTGCAGCTTTGGCGTTTAGGGGCCAATAAAAAATTAGCAAATGACATGAGCATGCCATTTAGAATTTTCATGATAAACAAAAACCCATGACCAATAGCCAATAGAGTAACGACAACGGGTTTTTCTGCTCACCATGGTGGCAAAAACTATTAATAAATTAATAACAGAATCAGCAGAGGCAGCAACAAAAAAATGTGTGCACAAAAAAGAAAGCCAAGACAGGAATGTGGAATGTGGAGAGACTAATACTCTTTAATATTCGGGTTTATTGGTTATTAAATCTATTTTTTATGATGTACAAGATGTTCTGTGTAGGTTATTTTTGAAAAACGTAAAAATAGATTAAAACAAAATATATATACCTTAGTGTAATATATAAACCCTACAAAATTTCTTAATTTAAAAATCTTTTTACCTCAAATAGTTAAGGACCTAAATTACATGATAAGATAGCCCCATCTTTTATCATGTGTAGTCTCTTAAAAAGCATTTAATTTATTCTTCTTCGAGTTGGATGATTTATTACCCCACAACTTTGTTGGTACAACCTCTTTCAGTGAACTGATAACCCCGATTTCGGTTGCCCTGGAACGGAATCGAGAATATAGCAACAATAGCCGGCTATTGTTGATTCAGTCTGGTTGCGTGCTGTTCTTAAAAGTGGACTGCCTTCAGCGGAGTGGTTTGGCATTCTTGTTTAACGGCTGCCGCTCGTGGTCGATATAGCTGATCTGGCCGATCAACATTAGCTCGGAAGCTTGTGACCGGCACTTCGATTAGATTATGATTTGCCTCTCTCCGAACGACCAGTTCGCTAAATGTCAATCTCAATTAAAAAACTCTGCTTTAATAGTGTGTAGCTGTATGCTTTTAAAGTTCAATTCTAAAACAAAAGACTTGGATAACAAACTTGTTCTGCTTAAGTCGCCGGCTGCTTAATTAAGAGGTCAAATGGATACACCCAGACCCTGGCCGAAAATAAACCTGCTTGTCGACCTTTTACACTTAATAAATTTCGATGCAAACTAGACGCCAGCCCCTGATAATCAAATTAAACGCTTATCAGTTCAGTTAGCCAAATGGCTGCAACAATCGTCGCAATTAAAGTCAGACAAATGAGCAGTGACTCGACTTCACTTGGGGGCCAAGTTCACTCGTGCATGCCTAATCGCGTATACGCACCGTGTGACGACATCGAACTGCGGGGGGGTCTGATTCATGGTTTGCATTCATATAAAAATAACTGATGTCTAAGCGGATCTAAAGTTTGTACTGGGAAAATACTAGTTTGATACTCAATGAGTTTTGCTTTCGTGCATATTAAACATTCCTTTGAGGGCAACAGGATTCCACTTGTAGGAAGACATAAATTCGTTAATTTAAATGACTAATATGCATTTGTTTCTATTTGAATAATATATTCGCAGCTTAATACTTTTCAAGGTCATTTTATATTTATTTCTTTGCATCTTTCTGGGTCTTCAACTTGATCTTTTCGCCTTCGTTTGTTTTTATTGCTCTCGAGATTCACAATCTCTCGTTCGGCCGGTCATTCTAAATGGTTTATTAATTTTATGGCCCGCGATTCGATGACTTTGAAGTGGGCCAGCATATAACACACACAAATATCCACAACTGAAACCCACATCACCTTAACGTTTATATACGCATTTAATAATTATTAATTATATCAAAATGGCCATGCTGTTTTGTAAACAATTAAGCGTTAAATTCAGTGTCTGAGGACGGACAAGTTGGTCAAAATTAATGGCCTTTTGACTGACGCTGACGAAAAATACCCATCTAATGAGTCATTTAAGGCACTTGAAATGATACGCGAAATTCTCCACACCAGCCGAAATGCTAAATAGTTCATGTAGTATCCGGCGCCGTCTTGAAGTTAATAAAATGTCAATTAGGGTTTTCTCGAACACACGTTTTTTGACGTTGGTGACGTTTTCGCCTTGTGAAGGTCGATCAGCAGCTTTTTAGCAACCGTATCACATGAGACGAAATGTGAATCACATACTCGCATTTCGTATGCAGTCGACGGACTTTGTCACAACAGCCTTGAGCTCCATCATAAAATTTGCATGAGAGAGTGCCGAAAAACAACAATAACCAATAAATTGTTGCATAAATCGCGGCCGGCTTCCTGTGTGAAAAACTTTCACAAGCCGTTTGCCAAAAGGCAAAAATTGTGTATAATTATTATTAAGCTTGGTGTCATGTTATACATGCATCAATTTAATGGCTTTGGCTACGCCGAAAATCAGTGATTGCCTAAGTCGACCGATCGTGAGAAGATCTGCACTCTGAAGTCATGGTCATGGTCAGGTGGGGCTGATCGACCAGCCACTGTGTCAACGACTCAACTTATTTCTAATTTCATTTCTCATCAAAATTTATACATTTCAAAGTTTGAGTTTCTGTCAACAAAATGTATTTATAAGCTATAAAAAAGTGTAAATACTGTAACCAAATGTTTAAGACTTTTAATATTTTATACGAGCTTACGAGCAGTCAAACAAGTTCGTTTAATTCATAAATTAGCAAGTTTACTTAACAGCCATAAGATAATGTAATATTTTTAATATTTAATAAGCATTCTATAAAACAGCTTAAAAACCAAACCCTAAATATCTTTTTTTCTCTTTACAAAAAGAGGGAATTTTAAGCTACTTATTTTATCCCAAATTTCAATTTATGTTTTCTAAACAAAAGACGTTATTTGTCCATAAAACTTCTGAGGCGAACCGAAGGCCAAATAAATAAATTCACTGTCGCAAAGAATTCCCAGGGCAAGACTTTTGAGTCACGAGTCGAATATTCAAAGAAATTCTGTTAAGCCAATTTAAATCCCGGCCGGGAAGATTATGCAGCACATATGATGTCATGTCTTCGAAATGAAGTTTCGGTTATTTTTTGAGTTTGAGCTTGAGCTTGGGTTTTGTTTTCTGGCTGTTTATCAGCATCTGGATATCGGCTCACCAGGCGCAGCGGCCTTTTTGAACGCATTTCATTAGCGGCTATATATATGTCTATATCTATATATATAAATATGTTTCTGGGCAGGCTTTGGGTATATTATATGGGTATAGTTGTCTGAGCGGTGTCTGCATTCACAACCGGTGTGGCTGTCTTCGCACCGGCTTGCCTTTTGTTTGTTTTTTGTATATATAAAACATATAGTCGTAAGAGTGTGCCTATATGAGAGTATACATGTATATATATATATACCACTTCGGCCTCAACAAGTCTGCATTAAAATGCATTTTTTGTATATATTATACGCTGCATGTGCCTGTGGATTTGCTTTACTTTTACTTTCATATGCAACTGGTTGCTGTGGCTGCTAAAATGGGGAAGTGCTGTGCGAGTGTGGGCTTTGTTTTTCTGAGTGTGTGTACTGTGTTGTTTTTGCTGCAATGAAAACTGTTTGTAAAGTGATTGTCAATCATTTTTGGTGGCATGTCGCCTAACCGCTTTGACAATAAACGGCAGCAAACCCCCAGCAACAATAACAGCACAATGGCAGCTGCTACACATTTTTTTGGGTTTTGGCCACGTTCGTTGGCCATATGATTTGTACTTGTGTTGGCTCAATTAAACAGTTTTAGTGTTTATATATTGCGAAATATATAAATGTTTAAAGGTGAGTTGGGTACTGTTGTGCCTAAAATGCATTTAATTCTTCAGGAAACTATTTAGTATGGGCACTTGTTTATTAGAAAAAAGATAAAGATTACTGACAGCCCCAAGATATATCAAAGCTGGTAGCTTTAAAACCACTTATAACTCGCTTATTTATTGGTCTCCCTGCCTTGATTTATTTGACTTTAATCATCCAATAATAAACAATAAAATTAAGACCAAACAAAGAAACCCCGAAAATTAAGCCAAATATATTGACGTAATATTCGGCTGCGGTGCAAGGCAAATTGGCTAAATGCTTTTAGTGAACAAATAAGGAAAACTAAGCCAATTTAAAACGCTCCGACTGTGTTTCTTTTATTTCGGTCTCGGTGGCTTTTGAAACAGACTCGAATCGAGATTAAAGTGGAAAGAGATTTTTCGGCTGGTTTCATGGCCCCAGTTTGGCCAACTCTCTTTTAATTTTATCATGAAATTTTCATGTGCAACACGAATGAAGACATTACGTAGAAAAAAAAACCAACTGGAAAAACGAACTGCGAAAACTTGGCCCCTCTCTCATAGTCATACTCGTATATCCATGGAATGGCATTCGAAAACTTCATTTTTCGCGTTTTTATATAATGTGGAAATGACTTTTGGATTCATTCGGCATTTTCGCTAATTTCGAATTTAATTTCGAGTTTCTATGTAGATTGTACTCTTAATTAAGCCAATTATTATTGAACAACTTTCCCTGCTCTTCGTCTCCTATCGCATTGCATGCGATTGGGTAAACCAAATCATCACACAGGTATCAGGTTTACCAGGTCCAATCTTGGGTGGAAGTGGGTGCTTATGTCTGTGGCCATTTGAGATAGTAAATTAGCTATCAGTTGGTATCTTATTTTGTGGAAGTCCCCTTGACAGTTCGTAATTGTTAGTTAATTATATGGGAAAGACATCTAATCTTAGTAATTACCAAAAAAGACTTTACCCATTAAGCAGAAGTATTACGATTGTGTGTGTCTTTTTCCACTTTTCTTTATAGATTTACTTTACTTTTAAAAAATATCAATTCCTTTGGTTATCTAAGGTTGTCTTTCTTTGTTATTATTAAATATATGAAATTTATTTAAATTTAAATTTTCATTATAATCACACAACAAAAAGAGATTGAAAATAAAGTAAACGTTGCAGAGCCACCAGCATTGGTTTCCCCTCCTGCGGTTTCTTTTTTTATGAACCTTAAAAATTGCTCCATTCAAAAAGAGAGTGCATAAACTGAAGTTGCATTATTATTATTATCTTTTTACGTTTGTCTTGTATTTTATTCTTTGGCAGCAGAGGCCTCTCAATGACAGTGCGATAAGCCTAAGAAAAAAATGTAAAAACAAAGGGAGACAATGCAACCTGGCTTGTGTTTGTGCAACACCAAAAAGCGCATTTCTGCATTATTCTTTTATGTTTGCATTTTAAAATATGCAACCACAAGGGGCAGCCTCAATAACAAAGAAACTCTGTGCACATTTGATACTTTTTGACGTCTGCGAGTAGCGTTGAGTTGGCTTAGATTTGGATTTGGATTTGATTTGATTTGAGTTGAGTGGTGCGAGTTCTTTGAACACACATTTCCCTTTACTGACGGCTGGCCAACTTCCAATGCCATTGATATATGATGTATGCTGACGGTTTCTGGGCGCGTCTCCAAAGCCCAAATGGTGGATTGATATTTGCATCGATGGCATTTGATGGCGGTGGATCAGTGATCGTTGGAACTAATATTTGGGGGAGCAGCTCGAAAGATAAGGCCTTGGGAATGCCGGTTATGTGGGTTCGTACGCTGATAGGAATTGGAATTTCCTGTATCTGGCTGGTTTTATTTTATGTTCCCATTCGCATATATAATATTTTATGCAACTCTAGGAATTTAAGGTAGGGAATATAATGTACATACAAGCTATTGTATTTTAGGTTTCAGGTATTTCAAGTTTTCTTTGGAAGTCTACGAAATGCAGTTCTATTTAAGTTTAATAAGAATTTGTTCTATCGATTCTTCTTTATATTTACTTTTAATTTCCACTTCCAGCATACCTCTTATCACTCTTTAGATGTAGTTAAAATTTCCTGAAGTTTCCTGAAGAATTAAGAAATAAATCTCTTAATACCGCTGTGACCCCTAGCATCCCTGAGTCATAAGCGCTCTATGGAGATATTATATGGACATAAATCCGATTCCACTTCGTTGCTCTTTCAGCAAGTCAGACAAAGAAGTCGAAGAAGAAAGAAACCGAGCCATGGACCAAAACCGTGGGCGTAATCGGAACAATGAATGTCAGCTCGGCCTGTCTTGGGTTTTTTTCAATGGGATTGAGTTTTTCGCCAGCCAATTGGACAGTTCAAATAGTTCGTTGAGTTCACTTGTCAAGGAATTGACTATTGCAGTTGCCTTGCCAAAAAGACACCAACAACAACGAAAAAAGTCCAGTCTTGTGTATGCATCATGGTCGTCTTGTTTTCGGATCCATCGACTTCTAGAGAGGGCCTTACCAGACACCCACACCCGTACATCCAGAAACAGAAACAGCCTAGACACACCTGAGTGTGGGTGAGAGCGAGCGTTCAACCAGGGTAATGGCTATTATGTATTACGTCTCTGGCTCTCTTCTTCCCTACTCTCTGCCCTCACCTGTTGCGCTCAGCTGACGGTGAGAGTAAAAGCCAAAGACTAAAAGAGCTGGAGAGCCAAAGCCAACACAGTTGGCCGGAGAGGAAACCAGTTACCTGCAGATCGTGGTGAGTAGGCAACGCTTCCAGCCATGATCCATGCCGCCGGAGAGATCAGTTGGTGGTCGTGCTTGAGACGGAGCGGTTGGCCGTGTGCGATCGCAAAATTTTCCGATACTAAAATATATGTGTATATACCGCCGTGTCCACAAACGTGGCCAGATAAGAGAAGATATTACCTTTTTCTCGCCGGGTTAGTGCTAATCTTGGTTTTAAGTGTGTGTGTGTGTGATTTATGCAAATCTTTGCTTTCTTATTGAACAAATACGAGGTTTTTGGAAGTGAAATATACAGCCTAAACAGAAGAAGAAACAAAAAAAGAGAACAACAAGCGAAAACATTCCATTGGAAATACCAAAAACAAGTTTTCTCCCTCCAACTCCGGCTGGCTTTATATGTTGTTTGCTTTCTGCCATTTGCCATTTCTACATAAAAGGAGTGAGAGTGAAATGTGAAATGTCAGTGCAAATAGCCACCAACTCTTACAATGACATCACTAGCTGCTAAGTAAAACAAACATATTAATGTTTGCTAAAAAAACAAAATAGATGAAAAAACAAAGTAAATAGAACCGCCTGCTGTCTAATTGCCTTGAAGCTAACTTGGCCAAAAAGGCTTTGGAGCACATTCTGCGGTCTGCTGTTGCAGTTTCTGCCGTCTGAGCCATAGGAACCGGTTCAAATATTTTCGCTATCGCAATTTGGGTCTTGGGTTTTTGTTGCTGTCGTTGCATTATAGCGAATTGCATGAGCATCGACTGCCTTGCATATACCCACTATATCTTTTTCCTAGAGCCCAATTTGTTGCCTTTGTTTTTTTTTTTTTTTTGGCCTGCTGGTTTATTTGCCTAGTTTCGAGATCTGAATGGTGGGAAGTAAACATTGTGCTGGTGGGGCCCAAAAAATGAAAGATATTTATGTGCTGCTCTTGGGCTAGGTTTCGGGAATTGTAAATCTAAATTAAATATGCTAAATAGGATTTCCATATCGTAAATCTACAAAGGTTTCTAAAAGCTTACACAGAAATTCGGTTGAAACAAAAGACTTGGGCAACGAACTTGCATGGCCATTTTGGCATTGAAGGAGTTTAGACTTTCACGAAGATTTATGAAGGTGACATAAGAAATATTTCAGTATTTAGGGTAACAATTTGCAACTATGATATAGGGTTTACATCCATCAGTACTAATAACTAACTTGGAAGCTTAAAAATTCCCCCCAACTGATTGATTGACTTTGACATTAGTAAATTTTTAAGGCCATAAACTTCCCCTAGTTCCAAGTTATTATTAGCGACTTTCCCAGCTATTCGCTGAGTGACCTAACAAATCACTCAACAAATCGGCTCACAAAATATAGACACTTGACACTTGAGAGATCGTTATTCAACCGACTTTCAACGGAAATGACAGCATTTGGGGTTACCAAACCGAACCAATGACAAATAACAGAAACCGCTGGCAACTACAGGCTACCAACAAATGTCGTGTGAACTTTAAAAACCCGCAAAATGAAAATCCCAAAACCGAAAAGAGAAAATTAAATAATAACTAGTGAACACAAACGACAGTAATGAGTTATCCAAACCTTTCGAAGATTTAAACCTATATGTAATTTATTTAATTCCATATTTATAGAAGATTACTATAAATTAACAATAACAAGTGCAAACGAGTGAGAAAAAGTCAAAGAGGAAAAACCAAAAAATTAAAGATAAAAGGAAGGGGAAAAATTAACCAAAATGCAAACGTGTAGAAGAAGAAAAGCCTCTGGCGATTCGGCAACGATCATGTGGAGTAGAATGTGCCTGGCCACTCTCTGCGGATTACTGCTGCTTGGCATTCAAATTGAGCATGCGGCGTCTGCGCCTGCAGGCGAGGATGCCACGGCCACAACGATGCCACCTTTGGATGCCACTACAACAGATGCCCCAGACGCTGCAGCAGCCACCACAACGCCAGCAACAACACCAACATCTCCTGCCACAATTGCCGTAGAACAAAGCAGCAGCATCGCAGCCACCGAGGAGGCAGCGAATGGTTCAACGACTTCCACAACAACGACAACAACAACAACTGAGGCAGCCAACAAATCGAATACAGCCGAAACTGGTGAGTCTTAAAAAGCAAAAGCCTAAGCCAAAAGCCATGAAAATTATAGATGCGACGACGACGACGACGACGTCGCTCGTCGACTAGAAGAGGCATCTCCCATCCCCATACCGATCTCTGGCCAGACACTTTAATCCCACCTTAACCGCGCCCTGGTCCCTAATCAAATCTCGTTCTCTGAGCCACCAATTAACGCCGCGCCGGTGCGTGACTTCTGGTCCGCCCTTTCTTAGCCATTCCGCTTCGATTTGTAAGCCATTTCTCCATAATTATTTTCCGATTCGGTTAAATGGAGCGCACAAGAGAAATTTCTGTTGCCTATTAATGGGTGGAAGAATATTTGGAGATATGAGCGGTTTCCTGTTGAATTACTTAGCTAATTGTTCGGCATATCAAAGTGAAAATATGAAAATTGTGGAGCTTAAGGGTAACTATGGGAAAAAGCTGCCTCAGGGAAAAGGTAATAATATTAGAACAAGTTTAAAAAGTAAATCGTTTTTTAATAATTCTGTGGCCAGAAGGATTTCCGACACTATTCTACTCCTAAGAGATAATAGGTGTAACAAATTTTGATTTATATTTCTAGCAAGATCTAATTTTAAATGTATTTATGGTGTGAAACTATTAAAATATAACATTTAAGATGAGAAATATGATAAAATAAGCAAATAAACGCGATTTGGGAAAGTATAAAACTTTAAGCAAGAACTGGAGTAATTTAACCTGAACATGCCAGCATATTCCAGATCATCTCAGATAGAATGATGAACTTTCATACACGTACCCTTTTCAATAATAAACTTCTTTATTGCAAAAGTGAAAGGCTCCATTGTTCGGTGTTTTGTCAAAGCCAATCAAGTTTCTGAAATTTAGGTTGCCGGTTTTAATTGCCGAGTTCTTGGCTGTAACAGTTTAGTAATTATCTCGAACGTTGTTTTAGGTTTAATGTCAGTTGTACATCAAACTCATCTCGTTGCAAGCTGGCTCGTAAAAACTTCAATTGGTTTTTCATTGTTTTGATACTTTTTCAACGTGATTTATTGATGACTCGATAAAATAGAGCCCAGCTAGGCCACACACAGGCCCAGAAGAGATCGATACAGTTTAGATTGTTGCCGCGGTAAATGGGAATGGGTTTTTATACAGGGGGCTGGCTGCTCTAAATGCCACGGGGAAGTTAATGGGATTTTACAGAAAACATTGGGCTGATGGTAAGCTAAGCCTTCACAAATTACTCAATTTAAATGCAAAGCAGCCAAGAGTCATGACTCATGCCCTTAACCTACGTAGCTTTGGGTAATTTTGGGTGTCGGCATTTGTCGTACACCAACATGGAATGTCTTCTTTCGCGGGGGTTAATTATATAAATACGTACCTAGGAAATTAGCCTAGAGAAGATAAATAGCAATTAGTCATTGACAGATTTGATAAATGAAACACCTACAAACTCCGAGAAGACACCGCACCTGATTAGATTCGAAAATGGTTATCTGAAGTGACGCAAACTGTTCATTTATTAGGCGGTGAGTGGGTAGTTGGCGGATTGGGGACTTAGATTATATAATTAAAGAAAATACATATATTTACAAATCAATTATTGGGCAAGACTTTAGACAGTTGACTAACTGGTTTTCTGTTATAGTTACAGCAACTGAGACAACTTGTCAATTGGCTTACAAATATAGAAATAACACTAGGCGACTGGCATGTGTAATGACTTACAGAAAATATTAAAAGTCAACTTATATTTCGTAAAGGTTTTCTATAAACTTAGTTATAAACATATTGGAATCTCCCGCTATAAGCAACCTCTTTACAGCTAGACAGGCAGCTTGCTTTGTGGAAAAGCCCAAGCCAAAAGAAACATTTCAAAGGCCAGCAAATTGTTTTCAAGCCGGCGAAAAATTCAACAAAGTAACACTAATGAGTTGGAAAATTGCACTGCACACCACGGCTGGCTGTGGTCGTTGTACTTGAAAGTCGAGTACATAAATCATTTATGTTAATTTTCCATTTTGCGGTCCCATTTGAGTGCTAAATTATGGCCTTGATATGGCGCGGGCAGAGATACAAAAAAAAACACACGAAAAATGCAGAAAAAATCCTATTGAGCAATTTTCAATGCGTTGGCATTGCAAGTCAGGGACTGCACTCGTAAAGGCTTGCCAAAAATAAAATAAATATATTTATAGCTATGCCCGAGGTCTTTGCTAAATTTTACGTATCACGAAATTTATAAAATAAATTTATAGCAATACCGTATTTAAACTGTGAAGTAATGACCTCGATCAACCGACTTTCTTCAAGGGAAAATGTACAGCAAACAAACAAAAAATAACAACAAATAAAAAATGAAAAGTGCTGAGTGACCTGTTATTATGTGGACTTGTTGATGGTTTATTATTTTTACAAATCATAGCAAAGTGAAATTTACATATTTCTGGCACGATTGTCGTGAGTTTTGCTTTTGAAAACAATCAGCAACATTCGTACTTAGCTTTTTCGAATGACAAGTTAACATTTATGCGAAAACATTAAGTTTGGCTAATTGGAATATGCTGAGTTCAGAGGTGCAATATCAAGTTTGTAGCCTAAGTCTTTTGTTTGCTGCACCCATGTGAGCATCTTCTTCTTGTCTTCCCCTTCTTTTTATTGCTGTTGTTGTTTTGGCTGTTTTTTATTATGAGAATTTCTGCAGAAAAAGGCAGGCAGACAAGAGTTTTGTTTTCTCGAACTTTTCAAGGATAACCATTTCAGCGGAGTGTGTGCGTGAAAAAGTTCCGTGGACGAGGGTGTGGCGACTATTCCATGCGTGATTTTTGGCTTGAGCTGCTGTACCTTTCGCTTTGGGGTTCATGCTCGATTAGCTGGCGAATTTCAGACGACCGCTATAATGAACCGATAAGTAAAAGTAGCTTAAAAAGGCTTTTCAACCGGCTAGTTCGAAATAGACGTCGAGTGTTATGTGTGAGCGGAGTGAGAAACAACAACAACATAACAACACAGAGCGATTGTTAATTGTCGGCCGTTAGCCGGTGGGCTTTTTGTTGCTCCTACTACTATTATTATTATTATTATTATTATTATGGTTTTGTACATTGACACTCAACAGTCACAGCATCCACAGCGGGTTTTGGCGAGAGGGACACGTGAAAGTGCAGACAGAGTCAATTAACATTTTGGCCGTAAATATGGCTTTTATAGATGTTTCGTACTTAAGTGTCGAAAAAATCAACTTTTGGGCTTTGAACTTCGAGTGGGTTTTCCACAAACGGATTTTTGGGCTTTCTCTGCTTTCCAAACACCACACAGCCCCAGCCTCCCATTGAAGGCTGAACAGAATGAAACGGGTTAGGCAAGTGAAAAGCCGAGTCGGCCTGGGTCTGAACTCAATCGTATTTATGTCAGGGGCGCATATCAAAATCCACGCAAAAATTCAGTTCAATTGTAACCCGTTTGAAATATGCATTAAGCAATGGCATCAATTCCACTTACCAGCCAAGTAGTATCATGCAACTCCCTCCCTGGTCTAGACATGCGTTGGTTGGCTTGCATTTTTTCAATTAGATAATTTTCATGTACGAGTATCTTTTTCTCACATATGGCTGGTATATGTATGTATTTATGTACAGTGAGAAAAATGTAGCACAGAAAGGCAGTGTGCGGCTAATTAATGCATTTTAATTGCGAATACTTAGTGGCCAACCGAGTGAGTATCTTGAGTCTGCTGGGGCAATTATCTGTGTCATTGAACGGTGCCGGGAGCGAGAGAACGTGGACAGGAAGTTCGAGCTTAGAGCTGCTGGAGCCTCGAATAAAAGAATGGAAATTCATTTAATTGCCTGTTATGAATAATTTCTACTGTTATTTGAGCTAAAAGATTAGCTAAGGGGAGCTGTTATCCAATTATTAGCAATACAGAGAGTTACGGAAGTAAGAACATTTTATTCGGTGTTGCATTCTATTTTTGGATTTAATGGTTTTTTATTGCCACCTTCCAAAGGTATTACCTATTCAGTCGATCAACTTTAGGTATTCAAGTTTCTCGCCCGTATATCAAAAAAGATCTGTTTGATCAGAGAAAAGGATAGTATTTTCTATACAATACAATTAAATTCATTTTAGAAAGTAATATATTACAGTTTAATAAATATGAAATGGCCTTTAAACATTTGCTAAGAAGTACAACATCAATAATTCCCCCAATCAAGTCAGTATGAATATGTGTTCAAATAAATTTAATCTATCAACATTATTTGCGACTTAATAGCAGCTCTTTTAAGCTAATTACCAAGATTCCAAGATGTACATATATATCCCCTAATTCATCTCTGCTTTTTATGCCTTGTGCCATTCGATTGACCTTCAACGAATTTGCAACGCACTTTGTCACTAGTTACAAGTCAGCCAGCCAGCCAGCCATCTACCCAACTAGTACATACACTCAGCTGGCTTCAATTCCAATCCAAACTCCACTTCCAATTCGATTTCATGGCCGGCCAAGCAACTCGCATTCACTTGGCCAAAAGTGTGTGGTGTCATTCCATTGAGATCAGATACAGATACAACTAGAGCTGCAAGTACAGCCGTTAAGTGGCGTTGTGTTTAGTCATATTGTTGTTTATATTTATTTCTGCCAGAGGTCTTTGTCTCGGCTCCTTCAGCTCGAACTCCGAATGGACAATGACACGCGCTCTTGGTAGTATTAGAAACTTGTTTTAGCTTTAAGATCGAGTGCACCTCCTCCTCATTCTCCTCTGCCGCATTCCTCCCCCCTTTTTTAGCGGGTCAAACTGCATTTGAGTTGTTGTTAGATGCACATGAACTTTCCAGTTGAAAAAGGTCAAATACGGGTTGGGAAATAATTTTGCTTTATTGCCGAACAGTTTGAGTCTCGTCTTCCAGCGCTTTGCTTGTTAATGATATTGTTGTGACTTTTGTTTTTATGGCGTTGAGGAATTTAACCCTATCGGAGATGCTCTTACCTACCTGACTGCCCG